ATGAACAAAGCGATCAACCCAGTGATATCCGAGCTGCTTCTGAGCTAGCTGCGACGCGATATTTCGAATGATACTCCGTGTGGGTGCTAGGCCTCGCTTAGTGAGTCTATCGATATAGTCGATAAGCTCAGCTTCATGTTGTGGGTGGACTGCCTGCTGGTTTTGTGCAGCTGCTTGTCTGGAGCGAGAAATACCTCGGTGGCGGCGGCTCAGCGTTCCTAGGTCAACACCATATTTTTTTACAATTTAAGAATACACAAGTTTTTCATTAGGCTTCAAAGCGTTAATAGCAGCAAGCGCAGCGTCAATTGATTGCATTGTGGTCACGTTATGGGTGGTTGAAGTGGATGGAATAATTGGTGTTGGAGGACGTAATCCGGCGTTGGCCCGTCCGCGGCGTTGGCCCGTCCGGCACCTCTATGGTGACGCGCATCGAGTGCGAGAGACAGAGGCGCGCGACGGCGTAGCCGATGCCGGAGGCGCCGCCGGTTATGAGGGCGTGGGCGGAGGGGCGGAAGACGGACATTTTTCTTTGAAGGAGATTGGGACTTCTGGGAAGGAATTGAGGGGAGTGATATAAGGAATTGGTATGTGTAGGTAGCGGTGTATTGGGAGGGGTGACGGACGTACTTTAGGTCGGGGTTAAGTTATCTCCGTTGGAAATGACATTATGGTATCCGCAAGAACGCTGCTTGTGGAATGAATAGTTGCGGGGTACTGACATGTATGTTTCGGTCCTACTTAGTATGCAAGTCCAGGTATATGTCTTGGTCCTAACTACATATATTAGTTACTCTTGCCTTGTCACTCTTGCCTTGCTGTGACCAATCTTGCGTGTTATTGATAGCAGAAATGGTTGATTAACACTTCCCTTCTTTCTGTATATCTTACAATCAATATATGCCATGCATCACTTCTTTTCTCTTATGAAAATGTTACCTTGCTTTAGGATTATATTGCATTTCTATCTTTAACAAGAACGGCCTTTCCAAGCACATAATTGCTATTTACCCTTATGTTAGCCACTGGGTTCTTATAGTCCACTACACTATCCTTAATTAAGTAAAGTATATTAGAAGAGTGATTTTACGGGTTCATTTATATACAAGTGTATATATGCGCATAGTATGTAAGAGTTAAACTCAATAGTTGAGTAAAAACTTCTTGTAGCTGCTGCGAAAGGTTAAAGATTGTCACGTAAGGTCCAAACCACCTCGAACAATCATCCTTATTTTCTTGCAACGAAAAAGTCTTTTTTTCTCTATATTTCCTGCAATAGAGATGAAAGTAAGCTCTCGAAGAGAATGGATAAGCTCATAATAAGCCGTTGTTACTGAGGGTGTATCCAAGATTGTGCTGTAGACGACTTGCCCTTGGGGTACAATTCGGTCTAAACATGCAAAATATCGCTTTTGAAAGCTAATAAGACCCCGCTAAGAATATTGTACTTGAACGATGCCCTCTAAATTTCCTACGACTACAGAAGAAATTCGTCCATACGGAAGTATGGCAAAGGTGAAGAATTCGCAGAGGAAATCTGGAACTTATCAACATTATTGTTTCTTAAATTGGCGTTTTTTTATGGCATAACTCACCTCACAATCCATTTCCTACTATGAACATATTTGAATTTTCACGTAAATAGGGACTGGTACGGTCACTGCTTACCTCTAGAGTTTCGATTTCCAGAAGATTTACCCATGATGAGAGCCGACCTTGCCAGGGCTGTTATACGATATCAGCATTTAGTTACGCACAAAAATGCGTAAATAGTAGTATCCCTACACATTTGCTACATGTAGTAAGCTGCAATGGTATCCGTTTTGCAAGTCTTCATCTCTATCACGCTGAAATTCACACTGTGAAAATTTTTATGTCAAGTTTTTCATAGTTGTAAAGAATTAGGCCGACTTTCCTCGCCAGGACGCCTAGGTAATGTGTTAAAATTGGCTTACGCAGCGCCGCGCTGTCAAAAATTAGTTTCGCCGAAAACATAGCAGAGGAAGAGGGATCTTCAAGTGTTGGGAGATGCCCTATGTAACGCAGAAGATCCTTATCAACATTGCCTAATTACCAATCCGTTGCATCTTCCTTTTTCGTCCGAGTCATCGCAATACCGCAATTATACTTTTCTACGCTTCTTATCTCCATGATTGTCCTACTCGTAGGCTCTACTGCGACTCAGATATCACCTCAGTCGAGTTACTATTATACGTACCAGAACATGCGTACGTGCCCGAACGGTGTGGAGAAGAGTTGCATAGCAACATGTGATTGGGATACACTTGCTGCTTGCTGTGTATATATCTCATATATGGAGAACTTGAATCATGCTAACATGTACACGTAGATTATTGCTTGTTAATGGAAAAAATGGAGCTGGCTAGAGTCTTACACGAAGCTGAGGTAAGATCAACTTCTGAGTGCGTCGAGATACGAGAGCATTTGAACGTCGTGCATACGATGCTCCAATCAGTTGTTGGTTGCAATAGTATTAGAAGCAAATAACGCCGAGCCCAAAGCAAAAAATACTAGTAACATGCATCGCTGCCAAGACGTCCAAAAACCTGACATGCATTTCAGACCCCTGCATAGCCCTGGACACAGATACTTCCTTTGCGTTCGATTCCATCATTATCCTAAGAGATGAACATATCTGCTTGGATAATAGACTGAACTTGAGTAATCTATATAAACAATTTGTGTACAGGAGCGTTTCTTGTTTACTATCAACGAATTCAACCAAACATCTCATCTACCTCCCTTCAGTTCCCCGTTGCAACCATGAAGCTACTCTCCACTGTTTTTCTGACTGTCACCCTCCTGTCGCCGTTTGCTGTAGCACAAGTTACTGTGTCAGTTGTTTGCGAGTAAACAGGATCCCTTGTAAACAAAATGTATTGTCCATATGCTAGAAAGGATACCTCCTGCATCACATTCTGCACTCAAGATCAAGTAAAGAATAAAGCCATAGTCTCCTGTGTATGTATTTCTCCTTAAAAAATATGTCGTCAGGCTAACTTCGGTGGCAGACTGCTCCCTGTTGATTCAACCACTCTTGCATTAGGATCCCATAGAGTCAACAAGGAGAATTCTCAACAAAGTGGAACAACAGGTTGGGAGATATTGGTTAATGAGTTGAATACTCACAGTTCATCCGCTATTCAACTCATCAGGGCTAGCTCCAATAATAATCACTTTTCCGGCTTCTCTGCCGTAATGTCATATGCACCGTCTGCACTTCTCACACTGCCATCTCCTCTTTATTATGCAGTAACCTACTCTACAACCCAGCCTCCAAATTTAGAAACTGCCAACAATGCCCACTCAAACATTGAAACATATGAAACTATTGACCCGTTGAAAAGGACGAAACTCATCTGTCTCCCTCCTTCCCATACTTAGCCTAGCAGCAAACAACAACGAAAGAAAAAACTTAAGTGCTAACCCACCTCATACCAACCTATAATTCCTACCCCACTAAACAAAACTAAAACAAATTCTCCAAAGATAACCCTAATCTCACTACCCACCAACCCACCAACCACCTCTCTCCACCACACCTATCTTAACACACCCCTCCCCACTTCACTCCACCCAAAACCCACCTGTTGCTCTTCTATAACCGAACAGCCCCTCAACATCCCTCATCCCATAGATACAATAGATACTAAACATGTGAAGTGGATTCAACTCAAGGTAAGTCAAACGAGGTGTAGCACGGGGGCGTCCAACCGGCGCTCGTGGTTGATCAGCACAGGTCATACAGGATAGAAAAGCTCCACTTAGTATGTAAACATATTGTTTAGTTAGTTAGTAAGTAGTGTGATTTACTGTAAAAAAGCACACTCAGAGGCGATTAGGCTAGGAAACAGGTTTTTCAAATTTCATGATTTGTATGAGGAGGAAAAAAAAGGTTAGGTTCTACCTGGCTGTCATGCAGGTGCGAGCGGGGACAGGGTGCGGTCCGTCTGGCACGCGAAATACGGAGGTATACTATGAAGCTGAGGCCTTGTGTGTAGTAGGTACTATACAATTACCAAAAGATATCCTGCCTCGAAGAAAAATCAAACATAGCAAAGATACTCGCATTCACTGTGCCAGTCAGGCAGACAATACCGAGTGGGTCCAAAGAGGAAAATAATTCCCTCCTTGTTTTACTCTTCTCTCCTCAATCTAACTAGGGGTCTCACCCCTCCACTAAATTCTCGCCTATCGACATGCCGCATGCCGGTGTGGCTTCCGCTAGGAGCAGCAGCAGCAGCCTACCGAATTGGAGTAAACAAACTAAGAGTCGGGGTAAGGAAGAAAAAGGCGATGCTTGGGTTCGTCGGTTGAGGCTTATTTAGTTGCCATTTAGGTTTGGCATGGAGCGATTCATGACATGTCGGCAGATGTATCAGACCAATGATAGTAGAGTTTCTCTGCCGGCCAATCATGCGATATTCTTCGTTAATGTTCCGATAGAAGGCCATGGGCGGCTATTGTGTTTACCGCGGACCAGAGCTGCAGCTAGGCAACAGAGTTTACAGATGCCCAAGGCTAACGTGTAGCAACTGACCAGCGAACCACGGCACATGATGTGAGCTAAATTTGATGGTTTCTTTGGGTTCATCTATCAGGAGTAAATAAGCTCGATGCTAGAGTACGCTACAAAGGTATCTGCAGACAAAAATGGTAAGGAAAAAGTAGTACAGGAGACGGGAGAGGTATAGGCGTATGTACAGACGGCACGAATCTCTTCATGCGCAAGCGACAAACATTGCAGTAGCTGCTTCAGAAAGCCATGACAATTTGCAAAAATTTCAGACATCATCTTCACCGATGAACAAATGGACTAGATGTACGATTTATCCACGCCATCTTCTACACGGTCTCGACATAGTTACTTTCAGAAGTCAGCAAAAGTACGAGGCTGTAGCGAGCAAAGTCAAGACGTACCTTGGGAAGATGCCTTCCCTACTTCCTATGCGACCTGTCCACCAATCGGTTTCATTGTCAGTGCGCTTGATAATAGTGATGACTTCGCCCTTCTTGAAGCCGAGATCGCCCGGTTGATCAGCATCAAAGGTGAATTTTGCTATGGCTTGGTCGGACTGCAAGCTCGCCTTCTTCTGTCCAGTGGTCTGGCCAAAGACCGGCTTCGGGGCAGAGGGCCGTCCAGGCTTGCGATCACTGTACGAATAGTAGTCATCGCCAAACGTCGAGGCGCGGTTCCGTGAGTCGATACGATCAAAGGTCTCGGTAGGGTTTGCACGGGTGGAATATGATCGGTTGAGACCGCTAGGTGCGGATGATGGCTGTCGGTCGTAGACATCGTCTGCCCAAGAAGAGGTTTGCTGGTGGTCCCTGTACTGGTAGTCGTCGTGGTGTGAGCCCATTGAGCCCGTGCGATCTCGTCGTACACCTTCACCCATGGCAGAGCCGCGGCGGCCCTGCCAAACCACATTATCGTGCGCATCATCATAAACAGGAATATCGTTGTACATGGCATCATTGGTGACATTCTGCGCTCCTCCTACACCGGAAAATACCCTGGAGTTGAGAACGCGCAAGAGCGGCTCAGCAGCTGGTGGCGGAGGGACTTGCCCGCTCAGGATTTCCCTGGCAGTCCATCGGCGTCCGTAAAGCTTCTCATTGGCGTCTCTGCGTTCGATTATACCACTACCCTCAAGACTAACTCCCGCAAACAAGCCTTTTGTCTTGCTATAGCTGAAAATGCCTGCCACGCCCTTCAAGCTGGCTGCGCCGGCAGCTTCGGCATTGCGACCAACCGGTCCCGCGGCAATGGAGACGTTGCCTCCCAGTGTCAGCGAACCGGCCTGAGCAAATGTTCGCACGGCGGAGGCATCGTTGAGGATAAAGACGAAGTCAGTGAGCTCAAAGCCGATCTGCCCGCCAAAGCCGCCTCCAATAGTACCGATAGCTGTAGGCGCCGACCATGATCCGTCGGCGAGACGTGCGACGACGACGCCGGAACCAAATCGCGCAGTGCCGAGAAAGCCAGCCTTGAAGACAGTGAGGATGGCGAGGCCCTACAGAGCACGTTCAGTCAGTACAAGGTGTCATGCAGCCCAAGCGCCCAAGCGGATCGCATGGCGCAGGGGAAACTAGTAGAATACTTTACCTTTGCGTTTGCAAGCACGTTTGGCGGGATGATCTTGTCGGGCCCAAAAGCCTGCCGCGGGTCGACAAAGGAGGCCAGGATCTTTCCCGTCTTGCGACATTCGCCTGGAGAGAAGATTGTATCAGCGACGTCACTAGCCGAAACAGCAACAGAACCCATGACTTACTGGCCATGGATGACGGCAGCGGGTTGTTGAGACTAAAGCCCATGGCGGCTGTAGTGTGCTCTCTGTGGAGCGGCAGGTAGAAAAAAAGGCGCTGCTAGGGGTGGATGTAGGGTGTGTGTGGAAGAGTGAAAGAGAGCGTGCAGTGCATGCGGTGCTGGAGCGGGCGGCAGGAACATGGCGGGTCAGCGCGGGGGACCATGTCATAGTGTGGCTGAGTCGCCCTCGTCCGATCCGACATCCGACGCGTCTTCTGCCTTTGCTTGGCCTGCATCCTCTTCGCCCAATCCATACTACCCACCCAACCACCTGAACACTGCACACAACCAAAGGCCGCATGTTTGCATACAGCAGGATGCGCGACGCGCCTCGCCTTAGTCATGCATCCCGTTGCTACCTCGTGGCACCCTGACCTCCATCTCCACCACGCTACCCGCCGATCGACTACGGAGGATCGCCTTCCGGTAGCATCGCGCGGCCATGCCCTCACCTCTACCATCAAGCAATCCGCCGACCAGTCCCCGAAATAGTACTACCATCTAGTCGTGTTGTGTTGACCCTCCAGCCTGCTGTCTATGACCCTGGAACTCGAGAACACCAACTGTGACCCATTGGTTTTAGACAACCACTAAGAGGCACCGACATTGTCGTCCGTCAGATTCGGCATTCAGCCAGTAGACATAAATGACAGCCGGTCGTTGGGAAAACGCTCCGAGTGCGACTATGAAGCGCCTCGCATCAAGGGCTTCCCACCCCTGTTACGCGTAAATGTTCCTAGTGGTCCCTTGCAGCCCGACCCGCACGCCACAGTTCACTAGTCTCATCAACTCGCCATGCCATCCTGTCTACTAACCATGTCCATTGTCGCACTAACATGGCGCGGCACCAGCGTAGAAGATTGGTGCTTGGAAATTGACTTTTGGCTATTGCTAGTGTTTTTGCTCTTCACCTAGAATATGTATATGGCTGGTCACTGTCGCCATGGCCTGGTTTCGACTCGGATATCATCTTTCTCAGACAACATTCTTTGCCTCTCCCTGACGGCACAGTTACCATAGTCGCCATGGAACTGCTAGAGATGCTTGTCAAGTGCCTAGGCGCCGAGCGACCTGATCCCGCCTGTCCAGCCCTCATGCCGCCAACAGGCGAAATGCCACTCAATCCCAACGCCCCTACCATCTGGCCCTGGGGACTGCCAATCATCATCACTTGCTTCGCCCTTGCCGGAATCGCCATGATGATCCGTATCTTCACCAGGGCCTATCTCACCAGACTCTTCACCTTCGATGACATAGTCATGACTGCCGCAGCACTCACGTACTTTGCTTTTGTTTCCGTCACCTTGGACAGCATCAGTATGGGCTTTGGCAAGCATCAATGGAATGTCACTGTCGGCGAGGCTATGCGTGCTCTACGCCGCGCCTACTGGGTCCAAATTGTCTACTGCATCGCCATGTATACCACAAAGCTCGGTGTGCTTCTTCAGATCAAGTCCACCTTCAACAGCAAGTCGCGAGACTTCATGTTCTGGTCATCTTGGGCTTGCATCGCCTCCTTTAGCTGCGTCTATACCGCAAGCCTGTTCACCTGGATCTTCCCCTGCAATCCTATAAAGAAGAAGTGGGAGCCATTTATCCCAGGAACGTGTCTCCCTACTCATGCTGGGCCGAGTCTCCTGAGCGGCATCATCAACCTAGTGACCGACGTTGCTCTTTTATTCCTTCCCATCTACGCCGTCTCGCGCCTACAAATGAGCATCAAGAAGAAGTTTGCCGTCTCTGGCATTTTTGGAGCTGCGCTTCTGTAAGTTATTTTCGCCAGAGATGAAGAAGTAAAACTAATCATTGCACTAGCGCATGCATAAGCAGTGCAGTCCGACTCCACTACACCATACTGCACCTCGACAGCAAAGACAACACATACTGGCTTGCCGTCGTCGCAGTGTGCGCCATCATTGAGATTTCCGCACTTCTCCTCTGCGGCGCTTTCCCCACCTTTCCCCATTTCGCAAAGTGGCTTGGCTATGGCTTTAAGTGGCAGTCGACGGGATATACAGTTACGAACTCTGGGAAAGACTCTCGCTCAAATCAATCCGACACGATCAACCTGACAGATCGCCAACAAAAGACTGTAGACGATCCAGTATAATCCTTGTTCTTCGGCAGTGCCGGAAATAGAAAATACACTTTATCATGATTGTTAACGGCCCGACAACACAAACGCTTGTTTCAGATATCCCGCCAACTTTGCGGTCCGCTCTCCCACCTATCTTCTCTAAAGATCGAACACTTAAGACTTCCATTCTCCTCCGTCCATGCGCGGAACATGCCGCCACAATTGTAGTCCTGAACGACTTGTACTTTATTCCCAACAAGCTCGATACCTATGATTCCGCCGACACCTTCGTGGACTCCGTCCCATCGGTTGCCGGCGCTTTTTTGGAGTTCACCACCGCGGCCAACCATCCATGTGGTTGCGTCGCTGAGAGATTGCGAAGAAAAGCGAGATTTGGCCGCTGTCGTTCGAGCGGCAGAAGTGCGGAGGAAGGAGTCACCATTACCGGTCCCTGAAAGACCCACGGCATGGCGAATGGGGGTAGGCTCTTTATTGTCTTGACTTGGCGTTGGTGCGGTTTGTCTTGAAGAAGACGAGCCCAATGTTGACAGACAGCCGTCAAGCACACCGTACAGGTCGCCTCTAGAGAGCTTGTCCATCGGTGCCACAGCCTGTGGGACAGGCTGATACAGCATCTTCGCAACTGCAGCATCTTCGTACCACTCTTCGGCCCAGAACCCGGCTCCTATAGTTGGTGTATCGCCAATGCGTCCATCAACTTTGTTCGTCAAACCCCCTGTAGACGTAGCAGTACAAACAGTCCCGTAGCTGTCCACAACAACAGCACCGCAAGTCCCCAGCGGAAAATAATGACTCTTCTCCCACTCGCTCGTCTCTTGCGCCCCTAAATCCCCCATCTTCCCCATCTTCTTCTCCTCCTCCTCCAGCCCCCTCAAATGCTCATCCCACCTCCTCTGTGTAAAAAACCAACTCGGCTCCACCATCTCCAATCCCCATTTCCTCGCCAGCCCCTCCGCAACCTCCCCACTATAAAAACAATGATCCCCCGCTCCACCACCCCCATCCACCACCTCCCCACGCACCAGCAGTTCTCTAGCTAGTTTAATCGGATTCCGGACCCGCCTCAACAACGTACATCCCACACCCCTCTTCTTATACCCATCCGACACCATAACACTAGCCTCAAGCTCATTCTTTCCTCCGCGCGTAAACACCGCGCCGCGAGCGGAATTATACAATGGATCTTCTTCTAACAAGGCTACCGCGTACGTCGCGACGTCCAGCGCCGTAGCACCGGGCGCCGCGAGCTTTCGCGCGGCTGCATCGACGATGCGCAACAGCGAACTGCGGTACTGCTCGTAAGTATCGCGTGGCAGAGATGTGTGTGTGATGTTTCCTGCGCCGCCGTGGAGAATGATGCGCGGAAGAATTGTTCCGGTAGTCTGGCCCTGTGGCTTATTTTCTTCCATAGTATGTGTTATTAATCTAGTAGTAGTAACTAGTAGTAGTGGAGTTGGGGTGTGTCTGCGCCGAAAAGTGCCGGAATATGTAGTCGGGATCATATCGGCGAGGAAGCATAGGTACGCGCTCGCTCGCTGATTGGATGGAGATAGCGCGGGGAACAGGGGTGTCAGGGGTGCTTGAGTGAGCGGGCTCCACTTTCTTTTTGGACTATGGCGGGGTGTGCGCTTTGTGGCGCTTTTTAAACATAGCAACCTTGACTTGAGGCTGGGATATGCTTGGTTGCGGGTTCGAAGATGCTGGCTTCCCGCGTCGATGTTGAGGATTTTTTAGCTGCCTGGCTTATCCTGGTCTGCGAATGACACGCATTGGTGTTTATCGTTTGCACATCGTAATTTTAGGGCTTCTAGGGAAGGTCCTGGGAAGGTGGTTTGGAGGGCTTGGAATACGATTGCGCGGCGGAGATCAAAGAAGTAATATGGGCGAGGGGTATTGCACGCGTGGTACCTGCATTTTTTTTGTCTCCGATGAAATGGCGCTTGGACTTGGAGGTGATTGGAGGGGTTTGCGGAGTAGAGAAGAAAGAAGTAATATGAGATTGGTGCGGTTTTGGGCTTTAGTCTGAACCGTACTGGCTGTGGCGTTTGCTTGGTCAGGATAGTGTAAGATAAACGTCACATGACATGGGAGATCAACATCGGTACTAGCAAACAATCTAGTATTCACCACGAAGTAGTCCAAGTCTTCCCCCCTTTCAATCTAGTGTTATTGACAACAGCCCAAGTCTAAACCTTACACTCGGCCTCTCCTCATGCCACCATATTCCCATTTCCCACCTCAACACCTGCATCCGTCCCTTTCCTCTCCACGACAGGCTCCTCCTTCTCCTTCCTCACCCCTTCCACCTCCTTCGCCGGCCCCTCATACCCAATCGCCTTAAGCCACTCCGGATCAATATTCTCCACCTGCAAATACGGACTAACATCGCTGTTGGGGAACTTGGCATTGCACATCGCATACCCCATTCCCAGATGCGCCCATGGATTCTTATGCAGATATTCAATCTCAAAATCTTCATACCGTGGCGTCTCGAGGACTTCAGAGTACTGATTCGATGAACCGGGCCACACGGCGTTGACGCGGCCAGTGTCGTTGTTCTTGTACCAAGAGCGACACTCGCCTTTCCAGACTGTATGCTTGATCCATTCCTGCGCGTGCTCGTTAAACTGGTCAGTAATGTCTTGACGAGGCACCCACGACTTGATGTGGTCGCGCTGCATCTTCTTGATGATTTTCACGGTGTACTCTGCCACGGCGAGCAGCGGGCCCGTCACTGATCCGTTTTCTACGGGCCACGTAGGGCCGATATACATGAGCCAGTTAGGCATGTCTGGACATGCGACGCCGAGGTAGCCTTTTGGCTCATCTTTCCATTTTTCGGCGAGGTCCACGCCGTTTTTGCCAATGATGGGGAAGCGGGGGCGGTAGGTCACGTCGAAGCCTGTTGCACAGACTATCGTGTCGACTTCTCGCTCGATGCCGTCGGCGCCAATGACGCCTTTTTCGGTGATTTCGTTGACGGCGGTGAAGTGCACGTCGACGTTGGGTTCTTGGATGGCTTTCATGTAGGGGTCGCCTGGTGTGATTCTGCGGCCTGGAAATGGTGTTAGCATGCATGCGACTCTGTAGGCATCCAACGAGCAACTTACATCCCACCTCAAATTTTGGCGTAAAACCCTGTAACAATCGCTCGTCTTTGATATGTTCCTTCATTCGTTCCCGAAGCATATCCTGCGCCTGCTTCTGCAACTCGTTGCCGGTATAAAAAGTGCCCCAAAGCCCATTTACTTGATTTTCAATATCCTTAGCATGCGCCGCCATTTTACGTGGGTCCCGTCGAAACTCTTCGCGTTCTTCCTCCGAGTACTCCTTGTTCTGACCGAAGTTGTTTGCAATCTGGACGAACCACACGCCCGTGCGGACGAAAACGTCCATGTGCTTAACATGCGGTTGCATGGTGGGCACAGTCTGGATCGATGAAGCGCCAGAGCCTATAATAGCTACACGATCGTTCTTCCACTGCTCGGCCTGGTAGTCCTGTGGCCAAGCTGCCGTATGCGCTATGCGTCCCTTGAAGGCACTAATCCCCTTTATACCCGGCCACTTGTAGTTATTCAGAATTCCCGAGGCGTACAGCAGGAGATCGCATTCGTCTTCGAATTCGCGCTCCTCGCCTAAAGGGCTCTTCTGCCGCAATGTGACTTTCCACTTTCCAGCTTCGTCCTGCCACTCTGCGCGGACCACTTCTGTGTTGAACGTCATGTATTTGCGTAGACCGAATACATCGCAGACTTTCTCGAGATACTTGAGGATGTCTGGAGCGTAGGAGAAGAAGCGGGGCCAGTCCGGGTTCAGTGCAAAGTTGAGGGTGTAGGCGTGTGAGGGAATGTCGCATGCGCACCCTACCACAATAATTACTTCCGTGTGTACGAGCATGTTCTTCGTAAAGCATACCTGGATATCTATTCTCGAGCCATGTACCTCCAATGCGTGCATTCTTCTCGTAAATTACATGTTCTACATTCTGCGTGTACTTTTGTATCTGGTATGCCAATTGTATGCCGGACAGCCCGGCACCAATGGTCAAAACCCTCATCTTTCGCGTTGAGGGGTCCTAGTCGCCGTCAATATCGGAGTCGTAGTGCATGGAATTGTATTGTAGACTTACATTGTAGACGATGTCCGGGACGCTATATCCGCTTGATCCCGGGGTTGAGTAGTCCCATCGCGCGCCGTTGGCTACACCGTTGAGATCTGGTGCCATGTTCGAACAGTAAGTATGGTCAAGCCACTTCTAGCTTGGAAAGGTAATTCTAAATGTCTGAAAATAAGTTGTCTGTCTTTTACGTTGGGGATATTCACAATCCGGTGTACCCAAAGCTAAATATCAATTAAGTCTTGAAAGATACCAAGCACCGGCTACATTAAGATCCCACTTCCGTGTAAACCATATTCCAATTTGACCTCGGGGGTTATTTATAATGCCCCCTCATCCGATCGACATGGCACAGCCATGTTGCACATCTGTTAGCCGTGCCAATCCGCATACATATTTCCCACCTCAGCATCACCAACCTTTATCCGGTTTATACAGCGGGTCAAGTGGGTTTTCAGCTTAGAAATTTATTTGTATTGCGTATGGGAAGCGTAGGTCACCCAATCACGAGGTTAGTGGATCGTGGTACTGCTTGCGGGGTTACTGCGGGGTAGTATTGTCTTATGAGGGCGCGTAGTTTGGACGCCGAGGTTACGCTTCTGTCTGACGCTGACCACCCACTTTCGTGGAAAACGGTGACGTCGAAAGAGATGATTCAGTATGACTAAGTTGGTGATTGGTGATATGGTGCTTCTTGTGTTACCATGGGGTACTGGGATCTTCTTTCTCGGCATGACGACGTCGTTTGGACTTGTAGAGATGGGTGTTGTTGTTCATGCTTTATCTAGCATATGTAGTACGAGGTGAGGTTTTTTGGGTTCGCTCATATCAAAACCGGAGATGGATTTATGGGGTTCTTCCTGTTTACTTCCTTAAATAGATAACATCTGAGATAAGGTCTTGCGCACCATGCATCTCCTATCGTTTTTCAGAAACGATTAGATGAATCAAGTATGTACAACAGTAACCTATATCTACGTAGACAGTGATTGGTCTGCACTTATAAACCCAGCGATCCGATGAGGATCTATTTTGCCCGTCTAATCAGTAACTAAGCAGGAAGCTAAGAAGGTAAGGTTGACTAAGTTACACAATGTTTAGACAGATGCGCTTCCATTACAAAGCCTATAAATATAGTACTACTGTCAAAAGAAACTCTCGGATAGGGTGATATGCAAAGACGGGAAATCCATACTTCCGTAAACTATCAAGATTGTCAACTTGAACATTTCCCCACCACGACCCCCCACACTAAGCTCACCCATTAGGTTTATGCAATGTATCCACATTACCCCATAACCGCATCCCCGCCTCGGCACTATCTGCACCCTGCAAGCGAAATGTAAGACGAGTAAGCTGACTATTTGAGTTCGTCCGCCTCCGGTTTGACGAAAGTTTGTCATATCTTGCAGATGAATAGCGCGATCTTGTATGCGGAGTACGGGAAGAAGAAAGGTTATGTTGTTTTGACTTCACGTGTTCGACAAAGAACTAGTCCCCAGTTTCGAAAAGAAAAAAACTGTTTTCTTCTTCTAACCAAATGAGATCAAGAAGTTCTAAGTTTTCTATAACTAGTCAAAGATGCAAACATCTATCTGTATGACAATGATTCTTCAATCTTACTCCCCCTCCTTCCTCTCCCCCGCAAGCAAAATCTCATGCCCATCCCCCTCCCTCACCCCCTGCGCAAGCACCCATCCACCCACAGCAACAAGACCCATACACCACCACGCCAACCCAACCATCCCCCTCTCCAACCCCTTTCCAAACAACCAACTAAAGAAAACCGGCCCAAACGTCCGCGCAAGACTCGACACTGACTGCCCAATCCCATGCACCGTCCCCAGCACCGACGGATGCGGACTCGCATTATTAATCAGAATCGCCGTACACGGAAGCGCAAACGTGCGGGCTAGCACCTGAATCGATAGCGCTGCCGTAATCGCGGTCCAAATCCACGGTCCAGAGACACCAAGCGGCGGCGGCGTCCAGCTAGGCACCAGACTCAAGAAGGGTGTGACAAAGTACATGAGAGGGAAAAGAGCGGTGAAAACGCGGAAGGAGTTTGTAGTACCGAGTCGATGGGCGATTTTCGGGTAGACGAAGAGTTGGAGGGGGAGACCGATTACGCCGATAATGGCGAGGGCAAGGCCGATGCGCGAGGGAGGCATGCCGAGGCCGCCGGTGAAGAAGAGGCCGTGGGGTTGGAAATATGGGGGGTATGGGTGTTTAGGATCGAACCGCGGGGTGGAGAGGTGGAGGGTCCAGAGGCCGTTGAAGGTGCTTACGTGCATGGAGAGAGCGCCATGGGCGAGCATTGTCATGACGAGGTTGGGGGTCCAAATGCGGCGGAAGGGGAGTTGTTGGCGGACCTGCTTGCTTGGTTTATCGATCTGGTGAACAATGGGCGATGTGGGTGTTTGCTGTAGTTCCAGATCATAACTGGGAACTATGCTGTAGCCTCGTTCAGAGGCGATGTCCTGACGGAATATTGTTCGGCGTATCCAGCGTCCCATCCGACGGCCAAAATCAGGACGGTCTTTGCAGAGCTCGCCAGTCTCCTCCAAGAAGAATAGAACTGCTAGTGATGACAGACATAAAAACAAGGCGCTGACAAGATTAGGTAGCGCATAAGGATAGCGCATCATCCACTGCACGCCATGCTTACCACCAAACGTAGAGTCTGGTCCGAATAGAGACGGGTAGTTGGCGACAGGGTCTGCAAGTATACCACCTACTCATGTTAGCAGTGCCATGAAAGCCCATTTACACTTCACCTACCCAAAACCGGTCCGATCAACACTCCAACATTAAACGACATTGGCATGAGCAAAAACGCCCTACTTTGAAACTTCTTCTCCTTGATAATCTCACTAATCATCGTCCTCATGACCCCAATATTCCCATTCACTATACCTCCCAGACTCCGGAAGAACACCGCCATAGCAAAATTACGTGAGAATCCAAAGCCAACGGTACTCAGCATGGTGCCTACTAGACCAAGATAAATAGTCCGCTTGCGGCCGCCATACTCGGAGTCGGAAAAGCGACCCCATAGCATTGCAGTCAGAAACTGAGTGGCGGGAAACGTCGCGCCGATGATTCCTGCTTGGTAAGAGAGCGTTGACTCCGAGAGAGAAGGATCAAAGGATTGCAGTTGGTAGTAGAGGTATGCACCCAGTGATGTCTGCGTCAAGGGCTCGGAAAGTCGTGCCAGGACCAATACTACAAGCTGATCTTTGCGCGGTAGTGCACTCCATGATACGGGCCTGTTCGTTGATTCGGTTTTCCCTGTCTCGTCGCCATTCTGAGTGTCTGTGTCGGTAACGTTGGTGTTGATAGAAAGGTCGCGTGACCTATTTCTTCGTTTGCTAGAAAAACTCGCGACACCATCTGTGTCGTTCTCTATCGACCGCGATGCATTTCTGGTGTCTACTGCTGAATGAGCAGTTTCCGAGTTGTATCGTGACTCTTGCTCGCCTGAGTCAGCTCTGAAACCTGTGCGAGTGGCGCCGTAGCCAGATGCCACTCGAGAGGTGGATGCCCCATTTGAATCTTGAGAGCTGGATACCATCAGCTCAGCGGGTGTGCTAACAAGACCAGGCACAAACTGTTAGCCAACGAGAAGAAAAGAAAGTCCAGCATTTGCGCGTGGATATCCGGTACCAAGATCGGGCGTCTCGGCAGCGCATAGTAGCGCGCCATCGATAATATCAACATAGACATTTCATTGGTGAAAATTTGCCTGATAGTGGTGGGCGCTTCGAGAGTAATCTAGGGTTGCCACTCGGCCATATATTATTTCCGGGGGCCTAAGTCCGGCGTGACTATTATACAAGAAACACGCACTGAGTCGCAATGTCCAAATCGGGAGAAGCCCAAGAGATGTCGAATGAAAATTGAATTCAAGTACTACCGCTAGTAAACTGATCTCTCCATTTTCAGCTTTGCATGACTGCAAGTGAATGCTCCACATCCCGCCTTTCCTCCAACATCATGAACACCTAGGCAGCAGGTGCCCAAAACGCTCTAGCTACCCTTTCCCTACGCATCAGCTCCAAAAAATAGGCAATAAAAGGTCTCAAGCTTGTCGTATCCAGATCCACTGCAATCAAAGGATCATCCGACTCCTTAGCGTCAGTATCATCATAATCATCTGAGTCTGCCATTGCAGTGTACTTGTATCCATGGCCCACATACGCCCCTCGCCAGCGATGCGCTTCAGGGCCAAGGAGATAGAACAGGCACGGGTTGACTGGTTGACCGTTTCCAAACACGTTCTGATCGTGCTGAACCACAATCATGGTCTTGTACTCGCGCTCTGGAGTAATGCCGTAATGCGACGAGGTGAAGATGTCACCGTATGGGTTTCCAGACACATACTGTGATAAGTCGGCATTATCCACGTAGTGAGAGCCGCGCGTGCCGTCCATGCGCAGCCAGATGAAGCGTGGATGGAGTTCGTCGACCGGGAAGTAGATTGAGCGGAAGTGATTGGCACTGGGGCGCTCTTGAAAGTTTTGGAAGGTGCTGCAGAGTATGTTGTGATGCGCGGCGTCACGTTGTTGACAGGTAACTGAGCAGTACTTCATATTGTCGCATTCAGAGCAAGTGATTGTAGCTCCGTTGAGGTGGCGGAAACTGGATCAGCCACTGTAGGCATGCTGTTGAATCAAGGCAAGTTATCTGATGAATGATCCTGTGGCTCCAAGCGTGGCCACTGCTGTCTAATAGAGAACCTGTGCATGGGAAACAGAAGTAATATAAGCATAATAATTAGGTGTTTGCTATACTCATCTATGCTTTACGGTTTTACGATGACCAGTTCTCACTTGTACGTTTTATTAGAGGATTTACCAATCAATATCTTCAGACGCATGATGAGCACAAAGTAAAAGCAAGCGGCTATGGAAACTCCGAAACAGATACGCAGACTAGGTGAGGCGGAAGTAAGTCGCTAGAATAATTCTCTCATTTCAGGATCAGCGGTACACGTATCGCTACAACCTCTCTTTTCCCCGTCTATTGGTCTCCTGGCTTCAGCTCTTATCCTCAGGGCTAAAGTTGATGCTAATACTATTAACGCAATGTCTTTCGTCCTTGGGGTTGCCGAATCGCTCTCCCTTGAAAATATGACCCAAGTGACCTCCGCAATTATTACAGACAATCTCAGTCCGCATCATGCCTAGACCAGGATCTGGCTTCTGTCCCACAGCGCCGGGTATGGCATCCCAGAAGGCGGGCCATCCGCAACCAGAGTCGAATTTGTGGTTCGCTTTGTAAAGAGGCGCATCGCATCCACCACAGGTATAGACACCAGCGTCGGGGTAGTGCTTGTCGTATTTTCCAGAGCCGGGTGGCTCAGTGCCTTTCTTTCGGAGGATACGGAATTGCTCTAGGAATCGTCAGCATCGTCATAGCTGTAGTTGAAAGGACCGGGCGCCATACCAGGCGATAGCTGTGCCTGCCATTCGCCCTCAGGCTTCTGCACTGAATAGTTCGTGTTGTCGGACATGCTGCTAGAAGATCCGAAAAGAGCGCCCAAGAAGGGAATGTTTGGCATCGAACGGTAGAGAACTGCGCGCTGAGGAGTGTTGTAAATGGTGCGGCCAATACCAGTCGTGGGGCTGGATCGAAGAAAGGCGGTTGTTGTATTTGTTACCGTGTGAATCGTCCGGAGAAATGTTGGAAAGGAAGGGAAGCGCATGTGGAGGGAGGATATGTGAGTTGTCGTGTTGGTGATTTGAGGGCTGCGTTTCGTCCAACCGCGAGTTGATTACTGAGGGGTGGCGGAGAGCTTCGGCGCCACTGGGGAGCTTCGAGAGTCGCCAATTGCGTCATGAGTTTTGCGCACCATCAACACCATTACATTACCATCTTGACAGCCATTTGTCGCTCGACTGGATAGCACCATGAGTCCATATCCACAAGGGGCTGCGCTATCTCAATCAGTATGTGCATATACTGTCCTTGGGTCAGTATTCTAGATCTTTGCTTCTCTTCCCCTCATGTTTGAAACAGGGAAACCGGGTATTCTGTATCGAGTGGGGGCTTCGGCACAATGCAATGATGCCGATGATGAGTTGAAATCATGCAAAGAGAACAACAGGTATGTTATCAGATATAAAGCAAGTTCAAATTGCATGAAGAGGATGTAAAATTTGTATACGTTTGAATCTGTTCTTAGAAACGAAGAAAAGTGCTCGAGAATTAGTGTCAGAACCTTGTTGGACAACGCCAACTCTATCACGCATCCTACCAGCACTCCATCTCCTCTATTTCACAATGATAGTCCTTACAAACTAAGCACATCTCTCAAGTTGTCCCTTTCGCTAATAACTACCCACCACATTCTCAATCTCAATACTAGGCTGAATATACGGCCTAACCATCTTCCTAGCCATAGTCCTTTGCTCAAACGCATACGCAAACCCAATCAAACTCTCCTCACTCCACAGCTTTCCCGCGAAAGAGATCCCAAATGGGGCATTCGGGGCTGTAGCATTCAAGTCGCCACGTGGGTTTGTAATCACCGTGGTGTTAGCGGGGTAGGCTCCCAGTGGGACAGTGACCACCGGACCGCCAATAATGGCAGAGATACCAGATGCGACACGCGAGGGAAGTACCACAGCATCAAGATTGTAAGTTGCCAGTGCGCCGAGGAGACCGCCTTCGCCGCCGAGGTAGAGGCCTTCTTGGTATGCAGCCCAGAACTGTGCATCCGTGTTGCTGAAGTTTTGAGACTGTGCAATCGAGCTGTCAAATATCGCGGTATCTCTGTTAGGGTAGGCCTCTGCGGAGAAGCTTTGGGTAAAGCTTCTCACATCTTCCAGGGTCATGACGTTGTTGGGGTTGTATGTAAGTTGGGAAAGGTAGCTGGCAAGATTGGGCGAGAAATCGCCGTCGAGCACGATGCCTTCGGCATTGGATTCGAGATACTGGTCCCATGCGGTGTAGTTTGTTCCTTCTACAATAATGGCGCCGGCAGAACGCAGAACGTCAAGAGCGGCTTCAAAAGCGGCATATACTGGTGCGGTAGAGGCTCGAGGTGTACCGATGGCATTTCGTGGAACGCCGATGCGCTTTCCTTCCAAGGCATCCAACCTGCAGGCGGAGACATAGTCGGGTACTGAGGCGTTGGTTGTATTCTTCGCCCAAGGAATTGCAGAAGTGTAGTTGTCGTACTGATCGGGACCAACGATCGCTTGTAGAATATAGGCTGCATCCTTGACCGTACGAGCCATAGGCCCAACCGTGTCCTGATGTTCTGAAATTGGAATCACAAGTGATCTGCTGGTAAGGCCAACACTAGGCTTTATGCCGACAATATTGTTCACTTGACTCGGCGAGAGAATTGATCCATCGGTTTCGGTGCCCAATGTTCCAAATGCCAGCCCTATGCTGGCGGCGACACCACTCCCGCTGCTACTACCGCTAGGGTCTTGTCCGGGGAAATATGCGCCATATGTCTGACCACCCTGAGCGGACCAGCCATTTGAGGAATTAGATGATCGGTAATTGGCCCATTGAGAAAGATTGGTTTTGCCCAAGATGATAGCACCTGCTTTACGGAGCTTTGCAGCAACGGTAGCATCACGTGGGACCTTAGCCCCGATAAGAGACCAAGAGCCAGCCGTGTTATTCATCTCATCAGCAGTGGCAATGTTGTTCTTGATGAGCACTGGGAGGCCATGAAGGGGTCTGTTTCTGATTAGTAACTAAGAGTCATGTAGGTCGGATTAGAGGTGACAAACCCTCTGGATTTGCCCGAAGCGCGCTCTTCGTCCAGCTGTTTCGCGATAGACCATGCATCTGGATTGATCTCAACAACCATATGAAGCGTCTTGTTGACTTCAATGATCCGTCCCACGTAAGCCTTGCTTCATGTCAGCATCAAGTCCGACAATGAGACACAACAAGTCAATCCAGGAGAACTTACCTGTACAAGATCTAAACTTGTAAATGCTCCAGTATCGAGACCAGTAGCCAACTCATCTGCCGTAGCATCCAAAAGGGAAGGGAAGCTGACTGTACCGTTATACTGCGCATACACACTCGGGAGTGGCGCAAAGGCCAGAAAGACCTTCGCCAAGAACCAAGCTGAGACCATGATGCTGGTTGCAACGATTACAGTCTTGGAGGAGAGCTGTACAAGAAGAGATGATCGAGAGAGTGAATGTATATGATAAGGGGCAGTCTCATGTCTGTTATTATAACCATGTGTATTATGATGACCCGAGGTCGGCTCTTGCGCGCTTCCCATGTCGGACAAGGATCAGCCTGCGAGCGCGTTTCTGGCAGGGGAGGTTCAATACTGATGTACTGTACCTACGTAGTTTCCATGATAAGCACATGGAAATGTCACAACTTGGCTTGGCCACAAGGCATCGTGAGCTTAACAGTGACAGTCTATATGCGCGTATCTCCAAATGGGTCGATAATCGGTCACACTTTGCTCCTTTCAGCCCGTGTGGTACACTTGTATCACCTGAGCAGAGAATTTTCTGCTCATACTCTGTTTGCGATGTTGCTATGCGAGGCTAAGAAGCAGCGAAGTAGGATATGCACCGTGGACGTTGAACAAATGCATCTGCGATTGCGGAAGGTGTTGGCGGCGATCGTTGTCTAACTAGGAAGGTGCTAAGGAGGGCAGACTGAGGAATCAAAAGCTTGATGCCGCGGAAGGAGGAAGAGGCTACCGGTCGCGGATAGTTATCGATACACTTTACCTAGTGAGCGGTTTTGGTTTATATGTATGATGCAAGCACGGGATCTTGGGTGCGTTGTAGATGCTGCCGACCTTCCGCATGGGGGCGTTTGCATGTCGCTCACACCCATGTCTTCAGATTCGCCGCTCGGTTGAGAACGTTGCCGATGCTGCGCGTATGGACGCATCACTCTAGATTTCAGATCCGGCCAGATATCTATGTATGTATGTGAGTCAGTTGCATGCTGATGAGTGATTTAGTCTAGTCGAAGTAGCCTGGGAACAACCATTGCAGCTTCTTCTCCGCTTCCTGTCCTCGTCCTTCCTTCTTGGTCATGGCGCCCGCAAACCTCATCTGTCCATCCAGGTGCTTTGCGAGAACTTGGTCGACATGCTCTTCCTTGCTTAGCTCGTTCAGCACGGCGCCCACAAAGCGTCTCGCATTCTCTGCATTCGCCTTCATGTGTGCCATGACCATCTCGACATTGACATCCTCCTCGCCATCTCCCCGCCAGCAATCGTAGTCAGTGGCCATGCAAATCATTTGGTAGCCAATCTCGGCCTCGCGCGCAAGCTTAGCTTCGGGAAGAGCAGACATGTTGATGACACTGCCACCCCAGGATCTGTAGAGGTTGGACTCTGCCCGAGTGCTGAACTGTGGTCCCTCCATGCAGATGAGGGTGCCATTGTCGTGTAGTGTCACGCCCTCACCCTCGAGCGCATGTCCGCACTGCCTGACAATGGCGGCTAGGCGTTTATCAAAAGGATCACCAAAGCCTACGTGGCCTACCATGCCCCCCTCGAAGAAGGTGAATGGGCGGATGCCTTTTGTGCGGTCAATGATCTGGTCTGGCACCAAAAAGTCGCGCGGCCGCACGTGTTCCTGCAGCGAGCCGACTGCAGAAAAAGCAATGATGGTGCGGACGCCGATGTGGCGCAGCGCAGCAATATTGGCCTGGTTCTTCACTTCGTGAGGGGCGAGCTCATGGTGCAGGCCGTGCCGTGAAAGAAAGGCTACGGGAATGGGTTTGCCAGTCGTGGGCGATGGATGCTGCAGGATGGAGATTGGCGAAGATGGCTTTCCCCATGGCGTATTAATGTCAAGGGTTGCAGCAAGAGTAAAGCCTGGTAGCGATGAAATACCAGTACCGCCTATGACGGCGATGTGGACGGGTGCTGCAGGACAGGTCAGTACGAGGTTAGGCAACTGGGCGAGGGCGAATACGCACCGTCATACGTGTTTGGTACGCCAGCCATTCTGCGATAGGGAATCGAGATGTTTCTCGTCCAGATCCTGGTTATGTTATGAAGTTTGAAGGCACTTGGAGCAAGACTGACGCGTGAAAGCATTCAATGAGGGGCAGCCAACACGAGCGCGACAACAATTTCTGCCATGGCGGGGTAGCTCTTGCCATCGAACCCTGTCAGCACGAACGATAGACGCCAATCACGTGATCAGCACCCCGCGGTGATCATCACCTTCTGACATAGACGTCTGCGGTCCACAGTCTCTTACTGTGCCTCTTCCATTTCCCCATTCAGCTTTAGGGAATAAATTCTCCCTGTTACATGCAACAGTAGATTTTTGAACCTTCATATACGCTGCTCTCATTTCCGCCCTTCTTATAGCCAATAATTAGTTAAAGTTTTTTTCCGCTGCTGATGTCTATTTCTCTGTGACAGATGTCGGACGGGTCACTATTGAGCATAATGCGGGCTGGAGCGTATGGCTAAACATGCATGGGTCCCTGTTGAAGCAACATATGCTGGATATGTCGATTTTCTATAACTACCAAAAAACCCGTCCCTTCAATTACTAGTGCTACGATTTTACTACGAGCTTGCCTCGTGTTTTGATACTGAGCTACTCACTCTTAACGGTTTTTTTAGTGACTCTAAAATGTTTCACGACTACTTATCAAGCACGTAAGCATGGTAAGCAAACAAAATATATGGTAACAAAAGAGATGAGGAAGAAACCACTCCTTGTATTTGGCAGAGAAACAACCGTAAATTTAGACTAGTATAGTTATTCTAAACTAGCTTTAAGATATACTTGATACCCGGTTGAAACCCGCGAGTGTTCCGTCATGTGTACCAACCCGCAGTAACCACGGTATATCTGGTAACAGCGCATTGAGCGTACAACCCTCAAAGTCTTGCCGATTCCGTCACCTAGATTAGGAATTTAGCTTTATTGGTATTATATGGATTCCCCACTCACTCACCGACAACCTTCCTACAAGAATTTACGGGTGGTACTGACATATGACAGTCTTGACTCTACTAGTTTCCCGTGCTTGCGATCTTATGTCTGACACGAAAGGTTCTCTTGATCTAGGGCCAAATGGATCAAGCCACCAAGGTAATCCTAGAGGAAGGTTTTGTACCACTCTGCTGATATTCTAAGCGACAATTCTTGTTAGATCTCTATTCAGGTATTTCGCATACTCGACATCTTGTACTTAAACATCTGATCTTCACCTACTGCAGATCATTTCTGTTCATGCAGAGATTCCTCGCTTTAGGTTCAGAACCTAATTTTTGTTAGCTATCCTCCGTCTAACCCTCCACTTCCAAGTCAATTACAACTATGAAACCACTATTCGTACTCGCTGCCTTACTTAGAATGGCCATGGCACTGCCATCAGATGCAATAGCCATGGCACTGCCACCAGGGAATTGTCCATTTCGTGGCCATGGCACACGGTATTGTCATAAAGACTGTGGACATTAGTATGCCTTATGCTACTTAACTATGTTTTCTAACATTCACAGAGCCTTGTAACGCTCCTTACGACTGCGAGAGTGGCGTCTGCGAAGCTGACGATAATGGTAATATTACTTGCAGCGTGCGAGCGGTACGTCAAATTTTAATAGATGCCTAATTATTAATTGCTAAGATTCATACAGAAGAAGGGCAAACCCTCATAGAGAAGTGTTTAAGAAAGGGAAGTATAGGATTCGTATTTCAGTACTATGAGAGGTGGTATATTGTTGGTAATTTAGGTATAACTAGTTGGTATACAGCCTAAACCTAATGTCACGACCAATCAGGTAGCTAGAAACTACCCTTGAATTTCTAAAATACCCTCTGATCTAATTGTGCGTTTTATCAACTTATCTGAACGTGTACTAAAAACGAGTTCTTTCGCAACCAGAGCCTCGATGCGATGCACGCTGACACTAACAGTAGCAAAAATTCTCGTGTTGGGCTTCAACATCCCATTTGGCTATCATATCACTCCTATATATGCATGTGTGCAATGATCACACAGTCCAGATGAGCTTGATATTTGAGAGAGTGAGTTCTGCGGAAGACGACAGATCAGTCTATTCATCCCACACACTTCCCATCTCACTTCCGGATCAGCCATGGATGGCCATCCACTCGTGTCGCATGGCCTCTCCCACTTCCCAAACTCTCACGTCATCCACCACAAACTTGACCTTGTACTTGCTCATCTTGTCCCTCTGCACTACGTCAAAAAGCGTCTCTATTGCCCCCCTACAATGCTCGTCTCTCTCCTCCTCTGTCTTGGCCTCGGTCACAAATCTAATTACCACTCGAGCTCCCGCCTTGAGCTCGAAAAGCCCATCCATCGCCTCCCGCATGCGCTCTGGACTTTTTGGTACCCCGAACATGTACGCGCGGAAAGATCCTCGGTCATGTGACATGGCGTTGAGGCCTATCTCTACCTTTGCGACCAAGTCTTTTGGAGGCAGCCCGAGGCGCATCTCATCCGTCATGAGGAACCGCTTCATGACGCCCGGATCGTCGCTAAAGACAAAAGTAGATGTGCGGTAGTAGTTTTCTACCAGCTCATTGTACAATAGTTTCGACACGTATTTTGGGTTCCAGTAATGCTCTGGGAAATGTTGCTTCTTCCATCGATCGAAGTTATATGAGTACAGTCGCGTCAAGGGGTCCAGCGTGGTTCGGAAATGCTCGCGCTCGATGACTTCGATGCCTCGCGTGCTGAGATGAAGGTAGATCATGTCGCGCACCTCGCGTGGCAATCTGCTCATAATCTGATTGCTAAGTTCCAGACATTCCCTTCTTGCTAGTTGCTCGACCATGTCCTGTGTGCTGGGTGCGATGCTGGCAAGGTCCGACTCCAGCACAGCAAGCTCTTTTCTCAAAGCCACTACACGTGCTTTGCGAGTGTTTTCCTCGGACAAAGCTCTGAACCACCATATTAGCAGCGGTATCTGTAGAACTAAAAATATGCGCACCTGAACGTGTACTTCCGCAGTTGCTCATATGTAATACCACCATCACAATGGAAACTTTTAGATGTCTTGGATACTGACATATCCATGTTCATTTTAATTCAAATTTCCGAAATTGATAAATTATGTTTTTTGCTTTTACACTACAAGATGCTGTTTATCAAGGTGCTGCTGATTGCTTACTCGGGTGCTCACTCCGCGCTGATATCTCGACTGATGGTCGGAAGATTACCCTGTTGGGTTATCCCACAACTCAGCATCGCCAATACACTGGCATGCTGATCTTGCGTCAAATTTGCTCGTCCTCACTGATTGGCTCCCCATCAGGGAGTGAACATTTTCCCTCTTGGTATTTGAAACAAGAGGGTTTAAGAAAATATAAGGACTCAAACCGTCTTCTCTGCCGCGATTTGGGCTATTTTTAGCCAAGTACCCCCAATTTCTTTATCGACCAATGGGTGTAGAGGCCAAGGAGATAATCACTGTACGTACGTAGGAGGTTGGATCAATGGCAGACATCGCTACCTCTTCGTACCGTAACTCCTGTGCGTGGTCGACATGAGGTCACTGGAAAACTTGGTCAATCAACCGATGGTGAACAAATATTCTTGAAATTTATAGGCCTCAAAAAAGGGGTGTGAAGTTCCAATGTCGATGTGGAGGCGCTTGTCATTTTCGCGGAGCTGCCTGTCAGGCAACCACCCCAAAAGCGCCACAAGTCTGGTCCCGCCACGCGTATAACAACAGCCTTGCAACCACCTGTTAAGGTGTATTCCTGTCCTCTCATAGGGAAAAATCTCACCAAAACGTACTTTTAGTAAAGCAGAATTATTGGTTGCTACGTGTTACCATGGATTCGGACTCGGAATCAGAATTGATGGAGAACCCTCGAGACTTTGCGCAAGTCCTGCAGCAGTGCGCATCTTCCGTTCGATACATTGATGCATCAACCCCTCTAATATGCGCAGTCTTCTTATGCAACAAATTCAAGAGTACCAAGAAACGCAAGCTAGAAAACCAAAGGAACCTAGTCCAATTGTAGAGGAAAAAAAATCGGCTCTTCGTCCTTTGTCACCACGTGAATGTCATTCCCTCTGCACCAGCGTGCACCAGGCTCTGCCTCGCGAGATTAGAGACATGATATACGGATACATACACGCTCACGAAACCATCTACGTTGGACCCGAGTACTTTGAAAAAACAACTGTGCCATGCGAATCAGACGCAAAAGCACATTACTGGAGTGCCCAGTATGTGGGAACCGAGATGCAGAGAGAAATGATTGAAAGCTGGTACCGTACGACACTATTCTATTTCTACGACAAGGGAAACAACAGCAGAGTTATTGAGAGGTTTCTTGTTACCGATCGATGGGGCCACGACATCAAACCGCAGGATCTCATCTGCCGTGCTCGTGTCGAACTGAGCGTGGAGGAACGCTTGCATACCAAGTACAAGGAAAGGCCCTGCTGCGTTGTCAAAGACGCAGGAGGGAAGCTCACGAGTGTGTTCAAACTTTTCCATCAATTGCCAAATCATGTCGAGTTTTTCATGCGTGTCCAAACATACGACGCGCCCCATACTGGATGCATGAGTGCGTCGGAGTTGTGCGGCGCTATTCATGCTCTAGTCGAGGAACTGGTGACTTTGCATTCTATGGGACATCGAGTTGTTGTTCAGTGGCCAGACTTGAACAATGTTGAGCTTTCGTGGAAGAATGGTGCATTCAAGGCGAGTGAGTGGACGAAGCAGCTGGTGCAGGCGGCACCTATGAAGCTAAATTATAAGTATGCGATGCCGGAATCGAGTGCTGGAGATGTGTCGCAGACTACTGAATGATTCGAAAGTCTTGAGACGGGGTCGGTTGGCAGGGCAACAGGCAGGCTTTTAGTGGAGTGAAAGCGAGAATGATCTAGATGGGCGTATTCCCCATATCCAGCAAGTGCTTATTTCATACTAGCGTCGATTAGTATATCACAAGCAGTTAGGTGAAGTGAAGCCTTGCACCACTTGCAGAGTGACTCGAACGATCACGTCTCCCCACTGCAGCAAAGGGGCAGTATTTTTGCATTGGATTTGAGGTTTGAAGTCTTTTGATTAAATCCAGGATCAAGTGTGCGGTTCAAAATACCCCCTCCAATTGTTATGCAAAAGCTCACTCCATATGCCTTAATCATTTAGGACAAACACTAAGCTCGGCACACTGGGTGCAGCTATATTCACCGAGAGCTACCATCTACTACTCGTGACACAACTGCAGCCTTGTCAGCTTGTACCCACAGCAAAACTGTATTTTGAGTCAGTTCCTCAAAAAATCAAAGTCTCCACCGCGGCACGGTATCCATCAAAACATGGTTACAAGATACTGACTTCTGGCAGCGTCATGGATATAGACCTAGAAGAAGAATATACATCCAACCCTGCTGTTCGCAAGTCAGGGGGCCCAACGATCAGGAACTTCGGGAACAAACCTGCCACCCAGCAAACCAACGGCACGCCCACACAACGAACTGTCACCTACCGCGACGTAGCAGTGCAAACCTTGCCACCAAGCAACGCCGAAACATTCCGAAAAACCTGTAATCGCGAGCCCACGCAAAAGGAGCTAGTCAGTAAAATTGGCACCGCAGCCACCGGCCGTTACACAGCCGTCGTCGGATCGAGTCCCTACATAACCATCATTGGAGCGCCATTTCCTGCCCCAATCTCTCTAGAAACAGGAAAGACGTACTCGGACGCTCCATTTCAGACCCTCAGCGTTACTGATCGCAAAATCTCTATTGTACGAGCAAAAGTAAAAGCGTCAATATTAATCACCAAACAGCGCCATGTTGCCCAAGCAGCAGGATACAAAATCTGGTGCGAAAAGAAAGACGACATGATTGTACACGCGGAGCAGTGGCCCATTCGCATTCAGTTCGATGAGGATGGGAAGGCTATTGATATTGATGTGCATGGAGTTATGCTACCGAATATCTGCGGTGAAGAGATCGGTTCGACTGCTGCGTTATCGGGGAATGAAAGTGCAGTGGTGTGGAATAGGACACATCCTTGTGACCGCGTCAATGCAAATGCTTCTACAGTAACACGCTTTTCCAAAATCACTGGACAAGAGACTGATTTCAACAACAGCATCTGAAACGTATCCCCACATTAAAGTCTGGCAACCCTGTGAAGACTTACCAACCATGGGCACCGGAGAATTACGGGTACTTTCATCAAGGTCCATCCGAGGACAAGAACTCATTCTTTATGAACTCAACATCAGAATATATGAACGAAGGATTTAGAGGCTATGGAATGTGGGCAACGCAGCAGTTTGAGAAGATGGATTGTGGCATAGAGATCGTCGAACCGAGGTTTGTCGACAAATTCGTTGTTCACGATGCCACCAAGACTGAACCTGAAATGCCGCCCCCAGCACCAATGCCGCCGGCGAACAAATTCAGCAAACGCAATCGTTGGGACTTACCACCACGCCATTCAACTACTATGCCAAAGCACCGCGAAGCTTCAGAGCACACTGCGACTGCTTACCCGCTAGCTGATGAACAGTTTATGAATCAAGATCTGACCGAAGTACAGAGAACCGCTATTCCAACGAACATTGATCAGTCTCCTAAAGCGTCTGACTTCAACCGTACCAGCATGGAGGAAGTCCCACCTCTAACCATCTCGCCGCGTCGAACCTCCAAGAAAGAAAACCCTCATCCATTTGCTCCCAAACACGAGCACAACCGCCACCGGATTTCCAAACAACCAAAAGGCAATCTAACCAAAGCAACAGATACAAGCTTCCAAGACTACATCTCGCGTATCCGCAAATCAGCCGCCAAATCCGCAGTCCGAGACGCGCAACAAGACCGACCCAGCAAGATAGAATCGGCAACTCAGAACGAAGCGCAAAACCTCGATCCCTACGCCCTCGCTCGCGCTACGGAAAACGCCCGTCGTGAGACTGTCGCTCAGCAACGCCCCTCGGTGCTCTCGCCCGGGTTGCTGTTTTCGGTTTATGATACGTATCGACCTGAAAAGGGAATACAAAGCGAGCGAGGAGATGAGTGATGTGGCTAGTTCATTCGCGGAGCAGGATGAGAAGAAGATAAAGGAGCGGTATGGCATCAGGAAGAACTATGGTGGTCGGAAATAGGCATCAGGGTTAAGCAGGGGAGGTTTCACTTGAAGAGAGAGAGAGAGAGAGAGCAAGTAGGATGTAAGGAAAAACAGGGGGGACAGATGGATAAAAAGGGTGTACGATTCAAGGCGTAGCTACGTATAAAACTTAGTGGGAGATAAGGGTTCGTGAGAACAATATCAATCTAATAGCCCTGATCAAAAGACAAGAAAGAGAAAACGCCATAATCTCCCAAGAAAAAAGGACACATACGGGTATCACCATATATCTAACCATATCCATCCTCGTTGAAAAAAAACACCTTCCTCCATCCCCACCTCCCCCCTCCCCATTTCCATCCACCCTCACAAAAGCGAACGAACGAAAGAAAGCATCAAGAAATCATAGATTGCCAATAACAACCATAAACCGCAACTTCCCATCCGTCTTCTTGACTACCGGCGGTGGATTTATGCCACCCCCAAGCGCATCCTCCGCCTCCCCACTAAGCGTAATCTCATCCAGCATAAGCGTACTACTCTTCCACCCCCAACTCTGACTAAAATTGAACCGATCAGGCGCACTCTCGTATATACTCAACATTCTGCCCCCCTTCGAAGGGCTATAAATTTTAAAATATGTTTTGATAGTGGGGCGGGCGTCGACGTAAGGGGGTAGAGCGGGGATCAAGGAGCGGGTTTTGCGCTGGGAGCGGGATAAGAGGGAGGGGTTTGTGTAGGCTGCTGTGTCAGAATCTTGGTCGGAGTCTGAGGTGTCGGATTCGTGTTCCGAGGGGGAGTAGGGGGCGTGGGCGCAGGAGGGGGAGTCGGTTGAGTCGCTGGATTGGGGGAGGGAGGTGTTCATGTTATGAAAGCCCCATTGGGGGAGGCCGCGCGAGGGGATGCGCGACATGTTGCCGCGTCGCGAGCTGAGCGTGTTGCCGGAGAAGATGGAGCCGTGGAGACCTGGAGAACCGAGTGTTGGGTCGGGGTCGCCGCCGCTGCCAGAAGTGTCGTCCTCGGCGGTTGAGTCTACAAAGGGAACACGGGTGCTGCGTCTCCGGTCGCGTGGATCGCTGCGCATGAGCATTTCCCTTTCCAAACGTCCGATTCGTTCGTCAACGGTACCATCATTTTGCTGGCTGAGAACACTGGCTTGGACAGTCTCATCTACCTCACGCTCCTTTGCACGATGGAGGTATACACCAAGTTGCACATTCTTTGCAGAGCGGACCTTTTGGATATAAATGTTCCAGAGAGATCCAGCGTATGATACCGTACGCGAGTATACTCGCTTCTTCTCCTTGAGAAAACGCGGATTGGGGAACTCGGCGGAGAAACGGAAAGGAGGGAACTCAGTGTAAGCAATCGGCCTTGGCTGTCCAGCGTTTCCACCGCCGGCAGATATCGGGCGTCGTGCAAAGTCCATGCGTGTATTTGGGTTAGTCAGCGTTGCTGGAGTTGATGCAAAGTCTGTTGCCCATTGAGCATCTTCGGGCTGTAGGGTGGCCGACAGGCGCGAGGCATGGCGTTGGAAAGAGCTCGACGTTGTAACAACAGGTTCGGCTCCATTACCGAGTACAATGTTGCAGTCTGAGCTTGGGATCCAAAACTTGCGTGGCTTTCCGTTTCCGTCCCAGCTATCCGACCCAATTATTAGACCACTATCGGCTGCGTTCTCTACTTGTTGGCCCTTTGAGGTCAACTCGCTCCCACTCTTGGTAGCCACATTGAATGCTTCGGGACCAGGGAGCGACTGCGATAGGCCTAGTTCCTGCGCGTTTTCATCCGTGTTGAGCACCCTTTGACGAAGGGCCAGCTGCTGCCAGAGCGAGCTAGAAATCACGCTGTCAGGCATGACAGGGAGACCAAAGACATCGCGAGCACTCTTGATGAACTCAAGCTGTTCAAATTCCATGTGGATGTAATGAATGCCTTCGTCCAGCAGCACAAGTATGCGTTCAATGTCGGGTAATGTGTACAACGCTAGCCATTCGGCGTGGGCGTCGGATGATGAGTGAGCGGCGGTTAGGGCATTCTGCCGATAGACGCCGTCGAAACGAACAGCCATGAAGCGTAGGGAGTTGGGCGCTTGCGGCACAGGTTTCTGCCCTCGCTGAACCAATCCAGCATCAATAGCCGCCAGTCGCAGTCGGCGATCAAGGAGGCGCTTTGCGAGCACCCATCGATCCCACTCGCTGTCTACAAAGAAGCCGTCAGAGCCCACCAGCTCGCGAATAATATCACCCGGCATATCGTCCCAGTACTTAAGTGGCATCTCCCAACCGTTTCTACTCAGCATGGCCTTGGCCGACTCGAGGATACGATCGCCGGAGCGGCCGTAGTAATTGGAGGTGACGAGCCGGATGAGGTAGGCAAGCGTTTCAGGGGCCATCTGACGCAAGATGGACTCAATGGCCGAATCTATGAGGTCCTGCATCTCCAGCCAACATCCTGTTGCAAAAAGACCGACAGCTTCAGCATCCATGTCTTTCGAGATGTCGACGCCGTAAAGCTTCCGTATGGCAAGCTCAAAGGCTGCTTGGGTGATGCTAGAGTCAATCTCTTCGGGGTGCAGAGTGACTTCTTTGGACTGGCTTTCGAGCCATGGCTCAGAAAGGGCAGTGGTGAAGAATGGTGCGCGGTCGAGGATCAAGCGATGCAGAGAGTAGCGCTGGCCAAAGGCTATGACGGTAATGTCTGAATGGCGGCCTTCAAGCAGTCCACGGGAATAGAGATGGTCTGGAAGGGGGATTGCTTCGCCGGAGGCTGCCAAGATTAGTTTCACACTGCAGCAGATATAGAAGGGCATTACCTCGCAGATACAGAGGACCTGTTGCGTTATTGTAGGATGGAGCACGTGAGGCTGAGCCCCCAGCGCTTTCGCTGAAGAGGGTACTTATTTCTGTACGAAAAGCATGCTCTGAACGCATGAGATCCAGGGTGGTGCGTCTTTTGCCCGAGTCCTCGAGGGGCGTGTTTGGATCATCGGCACTCTTTTGTGCCTGCTCAATTTCTGTCTGCAGTTGAACTATGGGCGGGCGTTCCTCCGGGGCCAGTGGCCTTGCCGGTCGCTTTGGCATGCTGGGGTGGTTTGCGAGGGAGGGCATGGAGCTGGAGTGGCTGAGAATCCTCCTGTGGGTTGCACGGGGTCTTGAGCCTTCACCGACTGAGGCAGATGGTTCAGAAGGAGGGACTGAAGTTATATGGGGCGAAAAGAGGCTGGTGGGTGGAGTGCTACGTAAGCCTGAGCCATTGTCTGTACCCTCAGTGTCGCCGGACGTGCGCACCGAGCCATCAAGGAGGGTTTGGGCGTCATGATTGTGGATGGTGCTCCCTTGGCCGGCAGGCGGCTGGTGGGCGTTATCCATTCTAGGTCTGCTACAGGTTATATATGGAGCACATTGGTTGGCGAGGCTTTGGCGGCCGGACACGCGGTGAAGAACAGGCGGGGTAGTCGCAGCAACACGCGGCGTCTGACACAGTAACAGTGTCTAGGATGCTCGAGGAAGAAAAAGAAAAAGAAGAGTCACGACAGATTTACAGCGAGGGCAGCGGGGAGGAGAGGACAAGTCACGGGGCCATAACACAGACTAGGCACATCACGCATCCGCTGGCGAGTGCTGGCAAACGGCGATCTTCGCTGGCTAGGGTCCGGTGATGCAGTTGCGACGGTGCAGAGTGGGTCGCGCCTTCCGTCTGTCAACGCCGCATGCAGGGGTCCAATGCTTGGCGCCGCTTCCGGACCCTGGTACCGCCGAAAATCCGTAGTCGATGACATGACGACCTTCTCTTCTTCTTCTACTTCTTCTCCTCTCGTGTGAGTTGCCCATTGTCTGTCGCCCACAATGACTTCCATATTCCAGGCTCTCCCGCAGCTGCGCATTGCTGCTCCCCGTCTTTCACGCCGACTGTTTTCCTGCAGACAGTGCCTCAATTCGCCAATTCGCTCCGCCGTCCCCACATCTACTCGTTCGACCCGCCCGTCTGTCTTGCAATCGGTGAGATGGAAGTCCACCCAGCCACTTCGTAGCAGCGCCGCCATTCAGGCATCGAATGCGAGTACTGTCTCGCTTGCTGAAGCTGCAGCTGCAGCAGAGGGAAAGTCGAGCAGCTTCCCCAAGACGACATCCAAGAGCGTCGCATACTGGCTATTGGGCAGTGCCGCCAGCGTCTTCGGCATAGTCGTCTTTGGTGGGCTGACTCGCCTTACAGAGTCAGGGTAGGCATGAACTTTGTTGCGTCAATTGCACCTGCTAAGTCGCACAGGCTGAGCATCACCGAATGGCGCCCTGTCACCGGCTCGCTATGGCCCATGAGTGAGGAAGAATGGGCGAGCGAGTTCAACAAGTACAAGGCCTCGCCCGAGTTTGCCCTACTCAACTCTTCCATGGACCTTGCCGACTTTAAGCAAATCTACTTTATGGAATGGGCCCATCGTCTCTGGGGTCGTCTCATTGGTGTCACCATGGTCCTCCCGACTGCCTACTTCATTGCCCGCCGCAGAGTTACGCCCTCGATGGCCTGGAAGCTTCTCGGCATCTGCGGCATGATTGGCTTCCAGGGTGCTATTGGATGGTGGATGGTCAAGAGTGGCCTCAAGGACGACCTTTTCGAACCTGGTAGCCACCCCCGCGTTTCCCAGTACCGCTTGACTGCCCATCTTGGCACTGCCTTTGCCGTCTACTGCTCCATGATCCTCACTGGCCTTTCCATTCTGAAGGAACACCGCATGCTTGCAGATCCTGCAAAGGCTGTCGAGACCATCAAGGCGCTACAACATCCAGTTCTCCGCGTATTCAGGGGTTCCGTTGTTGGGCTGACTCTCCTTGTCTTCACCACTGCCATGTCGGGTGCCTTGGTCGCTGGTCTTGATGCGGGGCTGATCTACAACGAATTTCCCTGGATGGGCCTGGGTCTTGCCCCACCCAAGAAGGAGCTCTTTGATCCCTTCTACAGTCACGTCCCAGACCACTCCGATCTCTGGTGGCGCAACATGCTGGAAAACCCTTCCCTGGTCCAACTTGACCATCGTATCCTCGCCACTACCACTTTTACCGCTGTGATGAGTCTTTTTGCCTACACTCGCTTCTCCAAGGGAGTGCGTACCACGTTGCCCAAGGAGGCCCACAAAGGTGTTCAGGGCCTGGTGCATCTCGTCTCGCTGCAGGTCACCCTTGGTATCAGCACTCTCATCTACATGGTTCCCACCTGGCTAGCGTCTGCTCACCAAGCTGGAGCGCTGGCCTTGTTGACAGGAGCTGTCGTTCTTTTCAGCAGGATATCCATGCCACGCCGCGCCGTCCTTCGCCAGCTTATGAAACCCCAGGCTCCTAGGACAACTGCTACACCTCACATTGCTTCCCGTTTGGAAGCGGCCAAGGTTGCAGATAAGTCATTATAGTTCATGACGCACTTTTGCCTATAGATCCCTTGTATAGTAGCTCTGTACAGACTCAGCATATACCAGCTTGTACGATATGTAGGTTACCACTGTGTGCATCGCACCGTTACTCTCCTCAGGTTATTTCCTTATTCCATCTATACGATTATACCACCATTTCACGAATGAATCTGTAATGAGTCGCTTATCATGCATGCTCTCGTTTTGAGGTACCGTGCACATGCTGATTTTAATGGTTTGACTTGCATCACGTGGGCTTATCGCTCCTTCCAAACAACATCTGTAGTACGTACGTAAGCTTTTCAATTCTCTGTCCAATGCACGATTACATAATCCCCGACTACTTACACTGGTCTCGGCCGCGTAGTACAACATCCACCTTGTTCCTGCATCCACACGTGCCCAGGCCATGGATACCACAGCATATTCGTGCACACTAATCTCCAATTTTGGTCTGATGCTTCAATCCTACAAGAAAAAGCAAAAAACACCATAGGTATCTTTAAACGCCTCGAAAAGTGACTGAAAAAAGAAAACATTAAAACGAAGCCTCCTCAACCCAAAACGCCTTGAGGCTGTTGATTAGGTAAAGCGAAATACACTTCAACCGTCGTCTCTGCTCCTCATAAAGCCGATTCAGCGTCTCTGCCGAAAAAGACAAACTACTCGCAAACACACTGCACGAGGCCGGCGCCACCGCCGCTATCTTCGCGCCGAGAAGATCCATAGAAGCGCGCACGTGATACAACTCATCGAGCAACTGTTGAACCGCCTTAGGGTCCCCCTGGAGGACAACCGGCGGTGACACACTCCCGCTGCTGCGATTACTACGCGCAGAATCCGGGCGGGTCGGGGACGAAAGAACGGAAGGAGACGAGGAGGATGCGGATGAGGAGCGCGACTTGCGTCTGTCGTAGTCTGCGGTGGTTGGTGTACCGAGGCTACGGGACGCAGTGACGTATGCGTCTAGGACTTTGGACATTGTGAGGCAGACGACTGCGAGGAAGTAGGCGTCGTGGGAGCTGTCGCCGTGCAAGATGGCGCTGATTGTTGCGGTGGCTTTGCTGCATTTGTCCATGAGACTGCGGAGGCGGAGCGGCTGCTGGGGTCCCCCTCCTACGAGCGGAATGGAGTTAGTACTACTCGTATCGCTCAAGCAGCAGAGGTGCTGCATTAGCTGCAGAGCCATTGTGAGCCCCTCGTGCTGCTGCTGCGAGGCTGCGGCGTGGTGCATGGCGGTTTGGTAGGGCGTCTGCATCTCGGAGAGCAGTAGGGCGGTTTGCTCACCAGTTGGGGTTTGTCCCGGCAAGCATGCTGCATCGAGGAGCATACCTAGGTCGGGCTGCTGCGGCGGGTCCTTGGGCGAGTGTCCAGGCGCTGCTACGTCGTTGCCCTGCGTGTATGCTGCATATGCTGCTGTGCCGTGAGGCATGCCGCCGCTGGTGCCGAGCAGCGGTTGGGCTAGCACGTCGGATGCCGCGGCGTCTGTGACACTGCTTGCATCGTATACCTGGTCCAGTGCAGACATGTTGGCGTCTGGGAGGAGGAGCGAGAAGTAGTCGTCTTGGACTGTACTCATCTCAGGGAGCATGCTGCTAGCAGTATCTGCATCGAGTGCCTCGAGCCCCGGCTCTATCATGTACATGTCTGCTGCTCCGTCCTGCAGCTCTACACATCCCGACATGTGAATGTCCGGTGCGTCATACATGGTCGACGACGACGATGCTGTTGTTGTGGTTGTTGCTGTCGTCATTGAACGGCTCAAGCTCTTGCGTCGGGCGGCGACATCACTGCTCTGCTCTTTGGCATCGCTGTCTCGCCGCGCCAGGGCCTTCCTGCCTGTCCGCTGTGTGACGAGGTATTCACACTTTGTACCTCTCTTGGCGCACCGAGCGCATTGCGGCTTGTCCTTGGAGCATTTGGTCTTGGATGCCGCGCACGATTGGCAGCTATCGCGCAGCCGGATGCCGGTTGGCGGCGGCATGGGTGGTGGGGGAAAATGGGGAAAAGGGTGGTGTGATGGAGTTTAGACTGTGGAGGGGTGGACTCTAACCCGACGAGCAGGTTTGACCAAGAGTGTTGTGCAACCTCTGAGAGGGATGGGTATCGTCGATCAGATTGCGTTGGGTTCAAGTTCTTGTTTGCGTAACGAAAAGAAGAAAAAAAAGTGTATAAAGATGCCTGGAGTTTGAAATATGCAACTCGGTTTCGGGTCTTTCGTAGCCTTTGTACCTCTAGATGCATGGGCATGGGCGTTGGTGTTCTGGGGGACGCTATTGCCAAGTTGGACTTACAGCGGAAGCGGCCCTTTCTCGCAGCGCGAATTGCTCCTATCTATCGTTTGCCAAGGTACCCTGTAGTCTTATCCCCCGAAAGCTGTAAGAGCTTAATTGTACCCTCGTTCTTTTCCAGCTACGCGTGTTTTTTTGGTTTTTTACCTTCAACCCACTTTGACTTTTTTAGAAGTTTAGGAAAATGATTATCAGACTGATGGGATGCAAGCCACACGTGTAGTCTTCGTGGAGGACCAATCATTGCTATTTCTTTGGTTCCCGATGGAATCTTTTGGAAAAAACTTCTCTTTGTTTGTGCAGAATTGTGTGTGAGTATCACGTTGCTAAGCGGTGGATTCCGTGTAACAATGGGGCATTGTTTGTCCGTTACCTCCTCACTGGAAAGGATCATGCCGTGTAACGGCTGCTAGTGCCCGTCCCGGTAAACGGTTGCTGAGGGTGCGTCGCGGAGAGGCAAAGGAAAACTCCGCTGACGATGGGCATTCACATGCAGAAAGGCTTGTCGCTTGCTTGATCGAGGCCATCTCGATCTCGGACGCCAATGGCTTGATCGAGTGCGTATATTGCGCAGTGTAGATTCCGATGCCGTACAGATCGCCAAGCAGTCACGACATATGGGTTGTGAAACACGAAGTGCAATGACGTTGCAATATCTTAATGTTGAGTTTGTAGCATAGGATGCTGTGATGTAATTCTACATGCGTTGGAGGCCTTAAAGTGCTGGTATCATCACTCCAAGTCTGCTGGTCGTAAAAGGTACCAATCGTGTCACTAGTAAGAACGATATGATTATGTTCCTCTTGGTACTTTGGATATACAATCGAAAGTTGCGGCTCATGCCCGGTGGAATACTCGGTACACAAGGCGCTTGTAGGGATGAATAGCGGGCCGTTGGGGCTACGTAGGCGAACTTCTCCGATCGGCGATTGCCAAGAAAAACGCCTCTTAATGTGCCAGTGTTCGTCATACAGTAAAGGGAAAAGTCGCGGTTAGCTGTATCTGACTGAGAACCATACAGGGTCTGTAGACGTCTTGGCGAGTAAAAACCAGCTCAGGGTGTTGCTGTTCTGCAACGGAACGTGCTGGAAATCAAGGAATGTATAGGTTCCTGCGGAACTATTGTGGGCTAGAAGCGCGTAAGTTAACATTGGACAAATCGGGCCAGCATGCTCTCATCGAGCTTATATAGGGAGATCGAGACATCAAGTGCACAGAGGTATGCAAGGCTTCCCTGCGCCTGGCGTGAGGGGACAGGTATGTCTGCAGCCTTGTTAATGAACACATAATAGACCCGAGTCAGACACAGGGTTTTTGTTGAGTTACTCCCATATGAACTGAGTAGGGGTTGTTTTCAGGCTTAGACCATGGGGTGATGCTACTATATATGAGATCTATGGTTGGTGCTCGAGACGGTCGCATCTGGTTCTAAAAAAAATAAAGACAACTTTCCTGGCTGGGCAGGTCCAGTCGGATCGACTTGCGACGGCACTACATCAAAACGTTGGTAAATTGCCGTTTACGGAGCATGGGGTTGAGGAATGTGGTTGAGGCTCGTGGCTGAGGGGATTAGTGAGGGGAAATCTGCAAGGCCCCCCCTTCTCTTATTATCCCAACCGCTTCCACCCCAAACTACTAGATGATTCTGCCATGTTCCCCCGGACAGGAGGCTCGTCGCACGGTACGGGCCCCTAGCGCACTCCGGGTCGGGCCATGTCACCGTGCCGGGGGATGCCAATGCGTATTAGGTATATTACACGCATGTCGAATGTCAGTTGACGTAAGCGGCGAGTTTGGCATTGGGGGCCTTGTCCGCACACTGTCAGCCAGGTGCATCGCCCGGGTAGTTGTAATTCAACGCACATCACGTCATTTAGGTGTTTTGTAACAGTGTCGGATGATGTGCGGTATTTGGAAATGCCTGTGTAAGGTAAAGTGGAGCCAGTGTCGTCCAGTTGCATTGCCATAGCGTGATTGCGAAATAATGCCGACTAGATGTCAGCGACCTGCAGCATCACGTGTCGCTTACCTGGCTAATCATGCGCTACCATTCATTCACGCCTGGACAAATGACTTCCTATTTCAGCTTAATTTCGTAGCACTAGACCCAGATAGTAGTTGCCCAGGTAGCTCTGCAACAACAAAGAGCTTCCTGGACGTTTGCCATAGCCTAAGCCTTCCAGATCTGGGCCAGTCAAACAATTCGTTAGGAACCGCCAAGCTTGTCGCATACTCTCACTACAACGTTTATTCAGTCAACACATAAACGGAGGGCCTCTCGTTGAGAAAAAGGACACTTCGTCGATCTTGAACCTTCTCCAGCTTCCCTGTGCAACATCAGAACACCACATCATGGCCAAAAAACTCATCACTATCCTGGGCATTACTGGAACACAGGTGCGTATGTCGTAGTACACACGTCGCAGCTCGTAAACACACTAACGTTACGCGGCTCAGGGTAGTTCTGTAGCCCGTCGATTTCTCTCCCACACCGACTGGTGCATACGCGGACTCACACGCAACCCTAGTTCCCCAAAAGCCAAGGAATGGGCCAACAAGGGTGTCGAAATCGTTAAAGGAGATCACGATGACTTGGAATCCCTCAGGGCTGCTTTCCAAGGTGCTCACGCCATCTTTGCCGTCACAGATTGGGCCGGCTGTTACTCGCGCGTGGCCGGGGACAAGACCCTTCAGAGCGAGGCAGCTAAGGCCGGCCTGTCACTCGAGGAATACGCCGGTCACCTGGAGACGCTACAGGGCATGAACCTGGCAACAGCCGCTAGCGACCCCAATGTCCTTTCTACCCTCGAGAGATATGTCTTTTCCACCTTGGCGCCGGTGAAGCAGATCAGCGGCGGCAAGTACAAGCACTCGTACGAGTTTGACTCAAAAGCCGCAGCTGAGCAGCACATCCGAGACAAGCTTCCGGAACTACGTGCCCGCCTTAGTACCGTCAACATGGGAATCTTCCAGGAGACATGGAGGGAAATTCCCGCATTCAGGCCGCACAAGAAACCGGATGGCACTTTTGAATATGTCCGTCTCAAATGCGACGGCCCACACATAGAAAACCCAGAGGTTGTCGCGTCTCGTGATACTGGTGCGTTTGTCGAAGCCCTGGTTCTCCACCACCCACCCGGCACAGACGTCCTGGGTGCCAGCCAAATCATTTCCAAGGAGGATTACGCAGCTCTCTGGGCTCGTACGCAGGGAGTAACAGCGACAGTGAGAGATGTCGACGAGGAAGAGTATGTCAAGTACCTTCCAGAGGGCTTCGACAAGACTGTCCTCGACGACTTCCGGTTTTTTGCAGAATATGGGTATGCAGGCGGAAACCCCAAGGTCAAGACGCCGGCAGAGCTGGGTATCAAGACAACATCTTTAGAAGATTACTTCCGAAGTGAAGATTGGAGTCCTGTGCTGAAAGGGGAGATGTGATGTTGCTCGTCGGTTGGTGTGATTCGATAATTTCCAACTGTTACACTCATAAGACTGCCCATTAACTTTCAGACAATTAAACTAATTATTCGTAATAAATACTGACGAATCCGCCTTCCCAGAACAAACGTGAAAACAATCATTCATACATACCTCCTGCGCCCTCCTAGTGAAACACTCTTACTTAATATCTTGTTCCGCCGTTTTAATCCCCATCTTCCACCTCCTCAACTATAAACCCGGGCGTTGACAACGGCTTCTCCCCTCTCAAACGACGCCATCGATTAGTCGACTCGAGAATTTCCGGACAGCCGATCATAAGCCAGGCCCATCTTTCCAAAAACGGCTTGCTAACTTCCCAATTCTGTGGATCCCACGGCTCACCCCAGACCACGAGGCCCGTCCACTCGTGCTTGCCTCGCCCCGAATCCATGATGTCGTCAAATAACTCTTGCTCTTCTTCTGGCGATAGAAAATTTTTGGTCGCCAGCAGCAAGTTGTCTCGCATGCGAGGGAGGGGGAACAGGTCGAGCCACGGGTGGTGCCTGATCGATAACTGTACCACGGTCGGTACCAGATTACTCGGTACGGTACCACTTTCCAGCGGCGGCGTCACAGACCTGGCATCGCGTATTGGACCGTCACGTCCAAACGGCGAGACGGCGGCGCACACGAGCCAGTCGAACTGGTAACCCAGCACGGCAGCGTTGCGGGTGAGACCATTGATGATATTGAACTGAATTAGCCGGAGTTTGTGGTCCGCACACGGGTCGCCCGTCATGTAACTTCTTAGCGCCTGCTCGGCAAACTGCTCGAGCACTGCGCGCTCCCGGGCCGCATCCTCTTCCGAGCAGTGGCTGAATGTCGAGGGCACAATTCTGGTAGTGCTGTTACTTCTGCTGCTGCTGCACAACAAAGTCCAAGTGTCCGAGACGGTGGTGTCGGGCGTCGTACTAGCCGCGCGGGACGCGGCATCCGACGAGTCGTCTTCATCATGACTTGTTTTCCGCTTTTTCCGCTGCCTTGCTGTACGCAGATACAAAAGCCGAGCATTAGACTTGGGTTGAGCAGGTAAACCAGAGTTGTACATCTGGGGTTGGGTGTCACTCACAAACGCGTTTGTTCAGTCTGTTCTGGAGCCTCTTGCGTTCCTTTGGGTTCGTTATGCCCGCCCAGTCTTCACCCGGTCGCCGTATATATGCTGCATGTGGCATGCGCTGCAACTCAACACAAGGCGTATATGCCACGGCCATAGTACTGCCATGCTCCATGGTGGACGGTTGGTTGTTAATGGGTGATGCTGGGGTTCAAAGTACGAAGTGGTAGTAGCCCGGACCTAACGTTCCAGCTGGATATAACCAATCTCACGTGATCAGCGTACTTGGCTGCCTTGGCTGACGGAATCCAATGCGCGCGCCAGCTGAATAGGACCACGCTAAGACCTAGCACGCGATCGAAGGTTCTACCTCAGTAGTATGCTCGTTTTCCATTATATTCGTTAGCGAGATCGCCTTCCGCGTGCACTTTGTAGCGCAAACATATCTTATATTGTGGTAATACAAGATCGAGCCCAGAAGACCGAGGACGACCCGCAATCGAGCTAGTATAAAAGAACTGGAATTCAATCGTTGTATTACGTCGTGCGAAGAAAGTAGTCCATCTACTCTGTAAAGAAATCCTGATATATATCCACAGACTGATCACGTGATGTTCCACCACAATATAATTTGGCAGGAGTGGCTATGAGACAATCTACAAGGAGAACGTGGTCGAACGACAATCAAAGCTACTGTACTGTATATATTTTGAGATTGGGCCGCGATGGATAATATCAATAGCATATCTACAGCGACTTGGTCCCGCCCACTGCAAGTACTAGTATTAGCATTGATTGGACGACCAACTTTCCTGTCAACATTAGGATTAATTTCGAACTTCGGAGAGCATTCCAAAGCAATAGTTTCCTAAGTGAAGGTACGTAGTTAGGTAGTAGACAGGTGAGCGATGATGAGATAAGCTATTTAATGCTTCATTGAAGCAGCTTGACCACAGCCTTGTGCCCTCCCTCGGTTGCATACCATAGTGGCGGCAGAAGGAATCATTTGTCATCTGATTCAACCTTGGCCTTGTCTGTTTCAAGTAGTAGCTTAACCACATCATCGTGCCCTCCCTTGGCTGCCCATGAGAGCGGTTTCTGACCAGAATCATCCTCTGAATCAATCTCGACCTTGTCTATCTCAAGGAGTAGCTGAAATACGGCCTTATGCCCTTTCTCAGCTGCCAAAGAGAGCGGCGTCCGACCGGACCACCTGACCTTACAGTTCACATCAACCTTACTTGTCTGAAATATTAACTTGACCACACCATCGTGCCCTCTCTCAGCGGCCCACAATAGTGGCGTGCGATCCCAATCAACTATTCTTCAAGTTCAGATCGAAGCGATCTTTTGCAAGTAGTAGGTATACTATAGCATCATGCCCGTTTTCTGCAGCCCATAATAGCGGTGTTATATCATATCTATCTTCTAATATGTATAGATACTGTATCTCAAATGCTGTCTCATAGCCCTAGACTGCCTCTTAAAGTTTTTTCACGCCTTTTTAGACTCTCCTATATATCTCAATACTTGTGCAATATTCTATATTCTAGTCGTCTTTTCTAAAGAGCCTTCAAGTTCTGTCGAATATCTTAGCATCCGATCGTATCCTTTTAAGTATTACAGTCTCTCTAAAGGGGTTTTCTAGTCCTAGGTAGGTGTAAGATCGTAGATAAACTATATTCCTAATTGTAAAAGTTTTAGCCCATTGATATGTTTATCTAATATTAGAGCTTTCTCTAAAGGCCTAGTTATAATCGCAATAACTTCGAAATAATTATAGCAATCCTATAACGGCGCAGGCAAGACTACTCGGATCAGTATCGGCAGTAGTGTCACTCAGAGGCATATGGGAGTGCGTGGGACATCAAACGAGCCTTGATTCGAATAGCACCTATAGGCCTTGTACAAAAGGATATTAAAAGTCTACAGAGCTAGCTACAGGGAGTGTCTCCTTATATACTTATCTTAGTAGGATCCGAATCGGATCCGACCTCACAACGAGTGGTTGATGAAGAGGGCAGCGAATACTACCTCCGATCCGGCACTGGGATTGGTCCGATACTTGGCGAAGTTGTAACATCGTTACAAATCCTAGATAATCGGTAGGTTTAGAGCTTCTTAGAGAAGGCAAATTATATCTCTTTCTTAAACGGATCTTACTAACTAATCCTAGAAGAGTTAAACGAGCGCTCCTCTTTCGATTCTTAATAATAATATCTATACTTTCTCTCGTATTGTAAATAGTGTTATTATATTCCAATAACACTCTACTAAGAATATAGCCCTTACTTTTAATTACTATAATCTTCTAATTAACTCCCCTAACTTTTATAGATATCTCTTTACCTAGTAGTGTCAGAATATGGGTATATATTGGGTGGTGGACGAAATCCGGGTGCGAATCGGAGCACTCGGACTCTGTGGATCAGTTGGATTAGTGAGCACGCACGATCCACCTCGATCATACTCAGCGGATCAGCGCGGATCAGATCAGACACATAAAAAAACAAGAACAACAGATCAGATCAGATCAGATCAGATCAATCAACCGAATCAATAATCCATCACAGTTTACTCCCATCTTTGATAACCCATCACAATCTGACAAGTAGATACTTAGTTAATATAAGAGTTCTTCCTATAGAACGCTATAGCTAGGTAATATATTAGCTTTACTAAGATTATTAGAGATTTTTTCTGTTGGAGATCTAAGCTAATCAGCTCAACTGTGATAGAATCTGGGTGTTCGGCACCACACCCGGATTCTTCAATCAATCGATCCCTGAACCAATTCAACATCCCTGAACCAATTCATCTATCTATCGGAATTATTATTGCGCAATCTACTATTATTTCTCTTAGTTATCGTTTTAGTTAATGTAAACAGCGTTAATCTGTATAATTCGTTTAAAAAGGGGTATTGTAGGCGTGTCAACGCCGCGTGGAGGTTTTTGGTGATGGGTAGGTTATTTCTGCTTGTAGAATTGTGTTCCAGTATGAAGATAGACTGAGGATTTCCTGAACGATTCTATATGTAGGACAAAGCCTCGTATAGATGCGCTCGTCTGCTTGGTTCCTGCAGAGAGTAGTGGAAGAGCTCACATTGAATGGGGGCCGTCTCGTCTTCACTAGGAAGTAGACGAAGTAAGCGAATGCTGGCTGACGACAAAGGTTCGCGATAACAATCAGGAGACGGGAAAGCAGACATTGTGCTCTAAAATGTGAACTGTGTGCATGTTGGATAGTCCTGGTGGGGAGTCTGGTGAACCTAACAAAGTCGTTCCATCGCTTCTGCCTGGACATTTGGCAGCCACCCCCCGCTAAATCACGTGAGATGCGACCAATGGGTATAGAGGTAAAAGTGGCCAGCTGAGTGTGCAGGGCAGAGGCCAAATTCGCTAGCGACAGTAATTACACTTGTACTCTGATATTGGACCTTGAGGAAGGGTAACTTTAAACAAAATGTCGTGTCAATACATCTTATGCCACAGGAGTCATAGTCACATATATAACACGTATACCTCCTACCAAACGCTGAACAAAAACCATAGGAATTCACCTTGATTTATCCCTTGCAAACTCTACTCAGACCTAACTACCAAATATGTTACACTTAATTCAGTCCCTTTACGCTGTATCTCAACGCGCTCTTAGCTCGCGAGAAAACATGCACACATTAGATGCTAAACGCCAACAGGTAATCATGGCCCTTCCCCTCCCCCCTCCGAAGAGATACACAAGAGTAAATATGACAAGACAACGCTTCACGCAAGCAACTCACTATACACTCACTTACACAATTGGCTTCTAGTCCACGCATCATACAAAACGCTTAGCCTACAGAGGTCTCTACTTCTCTTTATATAATCTTTTTCTAGTTAGAAGTAGCTACCACGAAGGTACTACTAACATTCTAAAAAGCTAAAAGCTCACTAAGAGCTGGGTTTGGATATTGTAATGCTAAATAGAAATGTATACTATAGGATATATCATCAAAGATAGTAGCAGAGATATATATAACAGCGTGACGGTAGGTAGCTTCATCACACTATATTTTAGTTTTTTCTCTAGAAAGTATTGGCTAAAGTGCTATTCTCCCTTGCCTATCCTACGCCCTGGGCTCCGCTCCTGCATCTAATAGCAGCTGCTCTACCCTCCCGTGACTTCCCTTGACTACCCATTTCAGTACTGTTGTCCCATACTTGTCTGTCGCGTTAACATTCGCCCCATTATCTATCAATAACTGCACCATCGCCTCGTTCCCTGCCTGAGCTACCCAGTGCAGCACCGTCATCCCATACTTGTCCCTCGCCTCGAGGTCCGCTCCTTTATCTATTAGTAGCTGCATCATCGACTTGTTCTTTGCCCGAGCTACCGAGTGTAGCATCGGATTCCCATAGTTGTCCTTCGCCTTGAGGTCCGCTCCTCTGTCCACCAGCAGCCGCACCATTGCCTCTTTTCCTTCAGAAGCTGCACAGTGTAATGCCGTCTTCCCATAACTGTCCTTCCGGTTCACCCACCAGCAGTGCATAGGTGTCCACCTGAATTTAGCCAGCACCGCTTCTACCCATGGTGCAATTTCCAAAGCGCATGCTATGTGCAATAATGGTGGTACCTCATCTTCATATCCTCTTATCCTCCTAGAATAAGTCCTCCACCAATGATCGCGCAAAGGAGATACTCTTTGAAGGAAAAATTCAGAGAAATTCAAGAGCTTTGCTGCTAGTGCATAACAGCTCTTCGCGTGCTTAGGCCAATAGAGCGTTGCATATCGCAACAGCGGAGACACTTGAGAATCTAGCATAGCGCCTAGATTGGGAATTCTGTCTCGTAAGTCGCTTTGCGAAATACAGTCAAGACACTTTTTTGCTAGCTCTAGGTGCGCACTTTCTAAGTTGAATCGAAACATCTCAAGTACTGCATCACTATCGCACTCTATGCGCAGTAGGTAGTCTCGCGCTGACTGGTGGACGAGGCTGATAGTCTGACCCCATGTCCTTAGTAGAGGTCCACACAGAGCAACAGCGTCGCGTGCTACTTGTTCCACAGTCATTTGGGGAGTAGCCTGGATGCCTACTGCCGCCGCTAGCTCGTCCAGCCGCAGAGGGCGAGCAGCCACAGTCACCCACTGCAGGATTGCCCGGCTTAGTGTCCTCTGCTTTGCTGGGATTCGCAGCAGCATACGACTGTATATCGCCGGAAGGCCGCTTGGCAGATCCTCAAGCGTCTCCCAAATCTCAATGCATGTCTGCTTCTGCGACAGCTCGTACATTGCGAAGCCTACCCATAGAAATGTTCCTTCGGTGCGTTGGAGAAGGGCGTCGTGTACAGATTTGCGAAAATTGTCCTCGAAGCCCTCGATGCTAGACAGCTCCTCTACTCGGGCGGACACGAACAGCTCAATATCGCTAACCACTCTCTTATTGTTATCAGGATCTATCCTCACCCTCGTCGTGCAGCCTCGCAGGCCAGGCAGGTCTCGGCTAAGGATCACTAGCTTGAACGCACTATTCGTCGACGATGGCGTTGGATTTGCAAGTAGGCCTACGAGTCTAGGCAACAGTCCTCTCAGCGTGCTGTCCTCGCACTCGTCGAGTCCATCAAGCACGCAGAATACAGTCCCAAGCTCAACGTCGGTGATGATATTGCTGAAGATAATCCAGAGCGTCTCCAACGACGATAGCGTCTGCTGTATCCTCTCTGGTGGTTTAAAGTACGGCAGCGCGTACTTGACTAATAGTGGACGCTTAATAATAATCTGGTGCACTAGCCCGCGCAGTACTGCTATTGCTGTGTTGCGTCTCTTGTCCTCGGCGCTGCAGAAGAAGAATACCAGGTCTGCATTGTCCATGCGCGCTGTGTGTTCCTTTAGCTGCTCTGTCAGAAAGACAGATATCATAGTCTTGCCCTTGCCGGGCCCGCCAGAGATCCATAGCAGGCGAGTATCGCCGTTGTCATCTCCATCATTATCTCTGCCGCTATCGCTCTTGAGCCAGGCGCGGTAGGTCTCGTTCTGCGTGATCCACTCACACGTACCCGCGACTCTCGTACCTTTCGCGCTAATCACGCTCTCGCGGTCGACGTCGGGATCAGTGAGATACAGTGCGTTGCGACACGCGACGGCCTCTTCGTCCTCGGCGTCTATCAAGCAATCGTATCAGCTGCAGGCACCCGAGAGAGTGAAAGTTTCAACTATTCAGGGCGGAAGCGAGGTGGATTGACTAACCTTTCAGGGTGAAAATGTTCGGTACCTGTAAATCGCCTCGTACATAGGCAACAATTTGCACCCCGTTGCCACTTACATGTCCTCCTCTAATGTCGATCTTTTCTGGGTCGCTCCCCATTGGGGTTTCGATCGATGCATCAAAATATTAGTGACAAGAGTATAGAAATGTCATAGGACAGCAACTTCTGGAACAACAAATAAATCATTCGTTAGTATGCAAGTACATGCAGCCCGCCGTGGTGGCAGTTGCAGCCTCTTTATACTCACCTCATGTATCGTACTACTCTTGGAAAGCCTACATAGCATTCGCTAGCTGTAAGCAAAAGTCCTCGCAATCAGTGACGCGGGCTGATGCGTAGCAGGGAAGATACATATTTAGATAAGCGGTTCCAACCAGTAGAAGACAGGGTTAATGGGCTAGGCCGTCTTGCATACTGCGGGGAAAGTCATGCCACTCGCAGCTACGTACTTAAGTACTTACAGCCTGCACCCGGAAGGCCACTAAAACATCACCTACAGATCATCTACATCTACTTTTGCATGAGCTCTGGAGGCACTCGATATTGCACATGTCATGTTTCACACCACTAGCAATTTAGGCACGCGTGAGAGCGGAGAACATGATGAAGTGTCAATTGTCTTGTGGGCAAGGATAAGGCGGAAAAAAAGGCATTATAGTATAGCCCGCAAGTACGCCTCAATAACGCCACATGCAGGCGCTAAGTCTCAGCCCCTCTTGAGTCTCAGCCCCTCGTTAGACTCAGCCCCTCGTTAGTCTATTACCGGACCCGGCGTCTCCGTCCTGCGCATAATAACAAGTCAGAAGAAGTACAATAGGAAATAATTTTCATATCGATTCCACAAGCCGGTTACTCTCTGAAAAACGGATCTCTTTCACGTCATGGCGGATCCCCTCAGCATAACCGCCAGCGTACTAGCAGTTGTTACTGCTACAATCCAGAGCGCCCAGTTCGTCGTTACAACAATCGATAACATTAAAAGCGTCCCAGATACGGTTAAGGATATCAGGAACGAGTTGACCGCTCTTAACCTGATCCTCCAACATCTACAGCAGCGCATGGTATTAGCCGCGCAAAATACAACTGAAAGTCTACTAGCTGGTCCAATTATTACGCGTAGCCTTGAAAACTGCGAAGGCGCATGTAAACGCTTCAGTGAATGGTTGAACCGGAGTATGCGACACTCGACTGAGGACAAGCTGTCCAAGGTCGACAGGTCAAAGATCGCAATTTTCGGCCAAAAGAGGATCGATGCCTTCAGGGGCCAACTAGATAACTATAAAGCCACGCTTCAACTTGCGCTTACGACTGTAGTAATGTAAGTATTGCAACATCCATTAGTAACACTATTCAATTGTGCAGGTAACTAAAGCAAACATGCTAGCCTCTCCACTCCAGCATTTACGCCAGACACAATATCCGAGAAGGCTAAACAGTTGGAAAAACATGAGAAGGATATCGGACAAAAGATTGCTGAGACCAAAAGCGTTGAAACCAAGATTGAGGAGGAGATAAGAAAGCTAAACATAGCTTCAGGCATCACAAGCAGCAACACAGACCAAGCGCAACAAAAGTCCTTTCCAGCCTCGGTCGATGACGAGTCTAACGAAGCAATGAAGGAACTAATGAGCGAACTGCAGCACCTGAAGTGTTCGAGCCAGGCATACTGTCAACTTAGCGAGGAGGCCCTTAGCAAGACAATGTCCCAACGTACTGGAACCAATGTGTCGATAAGAGGAGTTACAGTGACGGACCAGGGACTCATAATTAATGGAGTCATATCAGAAACAGGTGAAGAGCTGAAGATTCAGTTGGAAATCTCAGAAGTCACTGTTAAAGACCAGGGGATTGCGGTAAACGTGGTTGCGGACAAACTGGATCTCAATCCGATCCTTGCTGCGCGCAACGAAGCTGTGAGACTCCATGCAGGAGACAAAAAACATGTCGAAGGCAAGACGAGTGGGCACATTCTTGGTCGTCAAGCAACCGTAGAAAATGCTGGAGTGGCTGAGGTCCAGTCGCCTACTGAACAGGTCAAGACTAGCCGCATACTAAGATTGTCTTAGAAATGGTAGCTCCTCTGGGAGAACAAAATATGCATTCCTTTTTGGAAACCAAGATGCTAAATTCAATAGATGAACATATAGTTATACATATTTACATAAGAGGAAAAAAGGACTATTAAGCACTTTTCTAATTACTAATGGAAAATATATAACAGCTACTTGAAATGCGATTGATAACAAAAACGCCCAGACAAAGGAAACATACTCAAACCATAGCTCTGGTGGTCATTTACTGCTAATAGCCTTGGCCAATCCATTCGCAGCCTGCTTACCCAGCTCCTCCAACGTACCAAAGCCCAAAAGTTGTAGTACGCTAATGTCAAAGCCAAACGTCTGTCTCCACCAGTTGCGCAGCTCGATGCCGACGAGCGAGTCGAGACCAAGTTGCTGCACAGGCATCGTGATGTCGAGCTCTTCGTCATCGGGTCGTAGCAGCAATCGCATCAGTTGCTTCCCGATCTCAGCGCCAAAGTAGGCGGCAGTCTCAGGCTTGGCGAGTACCTCGGCATCGTTCCTGGCCGCGGAGAGGAACGCCTTGAAGCCGTCGTTGCCATTGCCTGCCTTGCCCTCGTCTCCGTCGCTGATGTTGTACCACACGCCTGTCCGGAGGTCTTTCTTCCAGAAGGTACGGTTTTCGGGATGGCTGAGTGACTTGTCGGAGCCGAAGCCCGTGGCAAATGTGTTCTTGTGGGCAAAGGGGCTCTTCTTTGTGTTGATGTTGAGCGAGGGCACGGGGTATGACGCTGCTGCCCGGAACGCCTCGATCATCTCAGACTCTGTGACGCCCGAGTAACCGTTTTTGATGAGCCTCTGCAGCAGCTGCTGATCACGGGCGGCGTAGCCCATGTCTGCGACAGCACCAATGTCGATGGAAGATGCTGGAAGCCCGTTGCTGTTGCGCCACAATGCAAAGGCGTCCAGGAAAGTGTTGGCGCCCGCGTAGTTGGCCTGACCAGGCTGACCGATGACGCCAGACATGGATGACAAGAACACGAAGAAGTCGAGTTTGATACCGGCCCCAACTGTAGCCTCGTGGAGGTACCAAGCACCCTTGACCTTTGGACTAGTGGCCTTGATCCACTGCTCCAGCGTCATGTTGCGGAATGCCTCATCCTGAAGGAACATGGGTGAGTGGAGAATGCCCTTGAGGTTGGTTGCTTGCTTGACGGCGTGGAAGACGTCTTCCTTGTTGCTTATGTCGCCCTTGACAAGAACTACTTCGCAGCCCATGCTCTCAAGCTCTCGGATGGTATCAATGTCTTCAGGGCGTGTTCCAGGGTTTCGTGAGAAGCAGACGATGCGGCGGGCTCCGTTCTCAACCAGGTGCCTGGCAATGACGGTGCCGATACCACCCAAACCTCCTGCGAGCAGGTATGAGGCTGTCTTGTCAATCATGAACAAGTCATCAGCGACCTTGATCGTGTTGGCGTTAACCTTGAGCTCGCCATCTGCGTCCCTGAGCTGCAGAACGACCTGGCTCAATTCCTTTTCCTCTTGCACGTGCTTGATGGCGTCCTCAACGCCCGCAGCCTCGTACACCACCCGAGAGGTGAGTGGAGTAATGCTGCCTTCTTTCAAATACCTCACGGTCGACTGGAGTAGTCTACAAAAGAAAAGTTAGCTGTGAGATCGATGGCACTAGGCGATCTTCGCATATCCACTTACCCCTTGACAGCAGACGGCTTCTTGGCTACCAGAGCCTCCAAATTGACGCCAGTGTAGCTTCTCCCTCCCAAGAATGCGTTCAGCTCCAGCTTACCCGCACCGACAAGATCCGTAGTGCCAATCTCAATCATTTTTCCGAACTCAGCGACTGCCTTCCAGGTAGCGTGCAAGAGGTCGCCAGATAGCGAGTTCAGAGCAAGGTCAACGCCCTCACCACCCGTTGCTTCTAGAACACCTTGCAAGAAGCTGTCATCCGTGGATGAGAAGATATGACTCTTTGGAACACCAAAGTTTTCAATGAGGTATTTGGCCTCCTCCTCGGTCTTAACAGTTGCATAAACATCTGCCTTTGACGCCCTAGCGAGTTGCAATGCAGCGAGGCCAACATTGCCAGTGGCGTTGTGGATGAGAACAGACTGTTGATCATGTTAGCTCAAGCATACTCACTTTCCTCTATTTCGTGAGCAAAGATAGAGGGGAGGTTTGCTTACCTGTCCAATTTGTAGGTTTCCGGTAGTGTGCAGAGCTACAAGTGCCATTCCGAATGCAGCAGGAAGAGATGCTGCTTCTTCGAACGAGATGCTATCAGGAATCTTCTCAATCAGCTTCTCTGAAACGCGTAGATGCGAGGAGAAGCTTCCAGAGCCAAGGCCAATTACACGGTCGCCCACACCAAAGCCCTTGACATCGGGTCCGATGGCAGAGATTCTACCAGCAGCGCTTCTGCCCAGACCTCCGGCAGGGTAAGGGCTGTTGCCCATGACTTCGGCGACATCCTACAAACGAATTAGATTTTGTCCATTGCACAAGGTGAGCGTGATAAAGGAAAAGAAAACGTACCTTAGGCGTGAGTTCAGAGTAGAAGACCTCGACGTCAACCTGGTCTCCAACCAGAGGCTCAGTTCGACGCGACAACCAGCCTAGAGAGTTTAGACGGCCAGGCTTCTCAGCCACCAGAGATACGCGCTCGTTAGCAGAACGGCTAGAAGTGCGTTCGTCACCAAAGGTGAAGGGATAGAAGCGAGGTACATTGATAGTGTCGTTGACAATTGCGTACTCATAGTTAGGCCTAAAGAAGTCATCTTCCTTCTGCTTTTGGAAGTGTGTGAAAGCATCGGCGACGAGATCCAGTGATGCGCTTACATCATCAACCTCGCAGGTAGCAAGGTCGATGGTGTCTTCGTGACGAATAGAGCGGAGGGCACCAACCACGGTCGCATATCGTGGGTCTGCAGACTGCATTTGAGATGGACGGGTGATCCAGAAGAAACCCCGGTCACCAATATTGGCAATGAACTTTTGCAAAGTCTGGAAACGGTGCTGGTCAATATCTTCGAAGAAGGGACTTTCCTCGTCAAGAAGACTGATAACATATTGAGACTCTTGCGGCAGCTCATCCCCGAAACTACACTTGCTGACCTTGTAGCCTCGGCTCTGAAGCTTCTGGCTGACAGTATCAACATTCTTGCCATCATGCTTGTACGCTAGCACAGCTACATGCTTATTCACGGCGGGCTTGGTGTCTTCTTCCGGTCTCGCGATGATGACAGCGTGTGACTGGTACGGAGCTGGCGAGTCTAGCGCAATGGCTGGAGTAGCGAAGCCAGCGCGCTTCAACTCGGCCTCCCAGCGCTCCGGAGAAACGTAGGGTTCGTCGGCTCGCCCGTCATTTTCGCCAATCCACCATTCATCAAGGAAGCCAAGAATGCAGTTGACCCACTTCGTCTGTGTATTAAGCTCTTGCAAGAGGAGTCGGCCTCCGGGCGCCAAAAGCTTACGAATATTAGTCAGAGAACTGGACAAGCTTGGAGTAGCGTGGACACAGTTTGTCGCGACAATGAGATCGTACTTGTCATCTTCCTTGAATCCCTGCTCGGCCGGATCCTTGGAGATGTCCAGGGCACGGAAGTCCATGTTGTCGACATCCTGGAACTGCTTCTTGAGTCCGGCAAGAGTGCTCGACTGAGGATCGGTCAAGGTATACCTATAGTAGAGGGAGACGTTGTTGGGAAGACTCAGATCCTTGATGATAGACGAGGCCAATTCTCCCGTGCTGCCACCAAGTTCCAAAATACGAAGACTAGGCCTTGCATGAGCCAAGCTCCTGAGGAACGCTGACTTGTCAGTAGTGTTCGCTGCATTATAGAGCTTTGTAAAAAGATCATCATGCGAGAGGACTTCGAAGATGGTCTTTTCACCGGTCAACAACTCGACAATATTCCCACCAACTTCCAAGACACAGTCAGCAGCGGGAGCAAGCGGCGATCCAGCCAAGCTCTCTCCGATTGCATGGGCTCTTTCAACGATTTGTTCCATACTGAGGGCTTGTGCTGGGTGGTTCTTATCGAGGGTTTGGTATTGACGACCAACCCAGGCTGCGAACCGCTGGATCGTGGGGTTCTCCACTAGTTTGACATCGTCGATACATCTCTGGAAAAAGACATAGCAGAGCTCAGTCAGCTCTTGGAATAGAGGCGCCCACTTTGCGCCATCGACCTTGGATTCGATGAGAGAAGCCACATCGACAAAGTCCACGTGAGGCTGCCAGCTTAGACGTGCGCTGATGGGAAGCTTGTGGACGACATCTTTGTCACCCTGTTCGATAGGTGTGAATGCTGCCTTGGGCATGTCCATTACCGCCTTGTCGTCTGCAATGACTTGGAAACGACCTCGGATTTCACCACTGCCAGGCTGAACAACTGTTGATGCTGATGCAAACATTCCTGCCTCCGGATCGCTACGGAAAATGGTCACCTCCTCGATCAATGTAGGCATTGCGGCGCAGTTGCTTGCATCAAGCTTGCCAGATCTAGCAGCAACAAGTCCCATCTGGAGAGCAGCATCGATGACTGTTGGGTGAAGGTGATACTTGCTCTCGTCTCCATTCAAGTTCTTAGTAAGACTGCTCACAGCCCTGGTCTCTAGAGGATCTGCACTGATCTGGTCTAGACGCTGGAATGCTGTTCCATATTGCATTCCAGATTTTGCGAGAGTGTTAAAGATCTTAAACGTGTCCAACTTGCGAGGAAGCGACTTGACCTCTTCAGCCTGCTTTGGCCCGGCGGATGGAACGGCCGACACTCGGCCGACACAGTGCTTCACCCATGAGTTACCATTGTAGGAGGCAATTGAAAATTCCCACCACTGGCTGTCTGTAGTGTCAGTCAGACGGAGAGGGCGGAGATTTGTAACGATCTCGGTATCAACACCCTCCTGCAACATCAGGGCCTGGCTGAGCACCATATGGGAAAGGCTATAGGAATCCTCGATGCCACTCAGCTGTCGAATCGCTTCGCCCGCCATTGCAAAATAACCTGCGGCAGGGAAGACGATAGCACCCTGAACTTGGTGGTCTCGAAGCCAAGGAGCGTCTTCAATGTTGATGACATTCCTCCAGCTGGGCTCAAGGC